TGATGGTCGGGTTATGTAACGATAACCAGGGGGCTCCAAGGAAAATGTCGTAGTCCGGTAGCGGGGCTACGTTGAAGGCCAGAGGCTCTTCATGATCGCCGATCCTGACACGTAGGGCAGCTGTCTCCTCATTGATAGGCGTGGAAGAACGAGTTCCATCGGCTAGCTTGGGATACTTGGGCTGACCCATAGGTCGGATGGGGATGCTGCGAGAGTCGACGAGTCGCCGGCTGATGAGATTGTCGGTACATCCGGAATCGATCAGGGCAACGGCTTCGATGACTTCGTGGGGTCCATCATGATCCAGTTGACCGTCTGGTTTGATGGGAGGAGCGAACACAGTTACGTCCAGCGTAACTAGGAACGTTCGAGGCTTGAGTTGCTTCTCGACAAGTTCACGGCCAGTGGTCCGGGTGGCAGTGACCGACGGTTTCGGACGGGAGATATGAACAGTAGGCGTCGGGGATATAGGCTTGTCGGACGTAGGTTTTTCGGTTATGGTGCTGAGGGAATAATGGACATGCTCGGAATCAAACTCGGGTTCGGAATCGGATATAGACAGGGGGTGAGTCGATAACGGTTGTAAAGTAACCGAATCGGGTGACTCAATGTCGATTCGGCTTACTACTTTCCCGAAGTGACCAGCAACCTGGTTGTCGAGCCCTGGGTTATGAAACTCAGAAGCGTGTCTTCAAGGCTGCCCTGCAGAAAGCAAAGGTCAAGACTAAAAAGGTTACACATTTTGGACGACAAGCAGCTGCCTCAACTGTCTCCCAGTATGGTTCACACCTGGACGATGCCATTCGACGTCATGGGCATTGGAACAAAGACATCATGTCCAATGTCTACATCAAGTCCTTCCGTGGGTGTCCCAGCGTCATGAAGCTTTTTGACTGACAGCCAGCCATGGGGGCCGTGCGCATTCTGGCTGGCTTTGAGCCTGAGTCTCGAAGGTCCTTCCACATCCACCGAGATGCTGTTCAGCCTCCACCAGAGTTGGTGCAACTTGTGTTCCCAGGGCTCGATATGTGGAAGCAGAAGCACAGTGACTCCCACAATCTCCACGGTGTGCAGCAGACCTACTCAGCCACTGAGTTTCTCAAGGTCATGGACTATCTACGCACAGTGTTCCTCCAGGACAGCGTGTTCCTGATGGAAGCCTGGCCTCACCTGGGTGTATGGAGCGATCCACTGTTTCATACGACGTGCTGGCAGACCTGGGCCACACGTCTGAAGGCCGCAACTGAGCACAGTATTGCAGAGCGAGCCTCTTTTCGCTCCATCGACCATGTAGTACCGCAGTTGGCAGAAGCTCTTCACCAGGTACAGCAAGATGTTCAATCATCACACGCTAAATTGGAGAGCTCAGTGCTACACAAACTTGACAAGCTGCTGGAGCCTGTCGAGCGCAAGGTTGAACATGTCAATGATCGTCTCGACAAAGTCGACACTGTATATGACATGTTGCGATCAGGCTTTGTGTTGAGACCTGCTCAGGTTGCAGGTCCATCGGAGGAGCTACAGTTGGCTGCTCAGTCCGAAAGTCAGGAAGTGACTACGTCTCTGACACCTGCAAACAGTCACCCTAGTGTGTCTGTTGGGACTGCCATGACTGCAACAGTTGTGCAGCCACCGAAGAGAAAGCAGAGAGACCCTCCCCCACATGAGTATCCCTATCGTTCCATGGATAGGAGTGTGACGACTGTTCCCCAACTTTGGAGAGAGTGGACAGAGGGGACCGCAACTCGACTCCCAGTGCAGGAGATGGATGAGAGATATGGCAGGAAATGGCTGGAAGACGAGTCGGCAAAGACGTGGCACAAGCGCAGACGCGTCATCATCACCTACGTGTCGGACAACCCCGTATTTGCTGCTGATGGACCGTGGGCAGCTGTCAAGGCTGTGGAAGACGAGAGAGGCCATATGACGTTAGACAAGTTCAGTAAAGAGTTGAGTAAACGAGCAAGAGCCAGGCGACTATAGACCAGCTTTGCAAGTCTCAAGTCCATGTGCCTGTCGTGGACAGCTGGTGATCTGCTATGTCATAGGGAAGTGAACGTCGTATCTCATATTGCCGTGTTTCATCAGGGATTGCTAGACAGGCATTGCAGAGCTTCGTACAGTGCACAGTAGACGAGGAGCAAGGGGACATCTGTTCAGCTTGGTAGGTGTCACTGAGAACATGGTCGTAAGGGCTGTTCACTGTGATATTGTGTCAGCACTTTGTGCCTCGGCACCCGCAAGAGAGGGGAGAGAGAGAGAGGAGAAGGGAGAGAAGAAGAGAAAGAGGGAGAGATTCAAAGGAGCGCGAGGGCGGATTTTCTGATAAGTCGAACTGGCGCCCCTGGCGCCCCTGGCCGAAGGCCAGTCGGCGCAGCCCCGCGGCTTTAGCCGCGTCGGCTACAGTTCGACTTAAAGGAAAATCCGCCTGAGCGCGACTCCGACCGAGCCGGGAGCGAGCGGTAGCGAGCGGAGGCGAGGGAGGCCTGCGACCGAGCCAAGTTGGATTCGATCGAGTCTTGGTCTGGGTCGAGTTGAGTCAAGCCCAGTCATCTGTACATTGTTATACTATGAAGCCATCCACTGCCTCCTTCTCAATCTTGTCCAGGATGCGGTCCAGTGCACCCTCTTCGGTCGCAAGCTCCTCAGTGTACTCCTCTGTCCAAGCTGTGAACACCATAAACTCACCATCAGACTTGTCACTGGGATCGCGCACGAGTTTGTGGAGGTAGCGCTGCGCTGTGAAACCCACCACATCACCAGGGTTAATCTTGACAGTGACGAGGGTCTTCTTCGTGCCGCATTCAATGATGATTGAGAGGATAGCCTTCTTGGTGGTGAAGACAATGGAGGGCACGCGCATGGAGTCGCCGAGGTCGCGATGCCAGACTGGCACTTCGCCGAGGGAGACCGCAAGCATGGTGCCTGCACTGCCGAAGCGCACATGCTGATGGCCGAAGACATTGGGGTCATTGGTGGTGAGAGTGGACGCGGCCTGGTTGCGCTTGCGACGTTTGGTGGGCTTCTTGGATGCGGTGTGGGGTTGGTTGGTGAATGAGGGAGAGGGTTGAGGGGGCAAAGTCGAAGTTGAGGAGCGCTCCTCCATGGCCACCGCAGTGAGACGAAACTGGTCATACTGTGTCTGCTGGAGTAGACCACTGGAGTGACGAAGGTGGAGTTCGGCAAGTAGGTCCCAGTTCGCTCGATGCGCTTGCTTCATGATCTTGACTGTGTCAGGGTCGACCGCATTGAGGTGCTTCATGAGCTTCCGCGTGCATGAGTCGAAGACGAAGCGAAGGAAGTCCACTGCTTGCTGAGCTTGAGGGTGCTGCGGGCGCGAGTGGGAGCTCAAAAATGCGATTTTGCTGTATTTGGACCAAACGCCGAGCCAGAACTGGTGAACACCGTGCGTCTCAGAGACCGCAGCAGTGATTCCAGGAGCCTGTGATGTCAGTCACACCGCAGAGGGGCAAGGGGACGAAGAGAGCTCACCTGCTGTATCTGTTGAACCGCATAAACAAGCATGTCGATCGCGCCAGTATCAATTGTGTTGATGAAGCGCCACACTGGATGCTTGGGGACGTCTGCGTCTTGAAGTTGATGCTCAGGGAGCGAGAGGAGAAAGTGCTGATTGTCTGGGAAGGGGAACATGTAGACGTTGTTGAAGTCTAGGATGTCCTTGACAGTGACATGGAAGTTATGTGTAGGCTGTCTGTCAGCAAGGGGAAGCGCAGGGAGCGTAGAGAGACTCACAGAATAGTTGGGTGGAAGCGAGAAGTGTGATTGCTGGTGACGAGCCTTGTTTTTGCCCCTCCTCCACCTTGCAGCCTTTTTTGCCTTCCAGCCCACAGGTGCATCTGCATGCACCTGCTTGGTCCTTGGGGTTGGTCCATATGGCTCTTCACCAGAGGTTACCAGAGCTGAAGAAGACTGTGGCTGCATGGAGGGTGGGTGGCAAAAAATGCGGCTGGGTGGCAAATGAATGAGTGTTGTTGGTGAGGAGAGTGAAAGTGGATGGACGGACAAAGTGGAGGTTGGAGGGTGGGTGGGTGAAAACTGGCTAAGGGCCCCCGGGACCTAAACTTGGTGCATAACGGGACCCGGCCCTACCGCGCCCCATACCGCATTACCTCTACTAAGGTGGGAAGGAATTGACCGATTCAGGGAACTGATCAGGGCGAACAGGCACATGCGTGATCGTTCTAAGCGAAGACCTAACGAACAGTCTCGAGCTTGTATTGTCTCTCCCCCACTAGTGCGCAATACTCCTCATGAGTGTAGAATTTGAGGTGGTAGCCTGGAGCTTACCATGCTGCGGAGAATCTCGATGGATATCCGCCTCGTGGTCGAGCTCATCCTGGACCGCTACGGAGTATTTGGTGAGTTCTTCGTCACTCCTAAACTGCTCAACACCGACGACACGGATCTGTACGATATCAGGGACACGTAAGGTTAGGCGAAGCACATCGTAGACAGCTCCAAGTGTGGGATCGCCCCTCTCCAAATACCAATCCTCAATGCCTTCCAGATGGTCCGTCACGACTCGCGGGGAAGTGTTAACCGGTGGCGGGGCGGTGTTGCCGACCCGGTTGTTGAGGATAACAGTGAAATCCTCCAGATGCTCTGTAGCTGTGCAGAAGATCAGATACCAGGGTTCCTCATGAAGAGGCGCCATAGGAGTGGTCGGGTCAGAGTAACAGTCGAGAGTTACAGTGACAGATGATCCTCCGCAAATGCGATCTGCGACTGAAAGACGGTAGTTCTCTGAGTAGTCGAGGAAACAGATAGTCTGCCCTGCAAAGAGGTGATGGAAGTGGGAAGCTTTGACGCCTGCAGGAATGTGGATTCTCGACTGGTAACATTGGAGCTTCTCAAGCGCATCGGGGTGACGGACGGGGTCGAACGGGTGGCGCGCAGGGTTGGGAACAAGATCGATGATTCTGATGTCGTTTCCGAAACGGGACACATGGTTCTCCCTGACAGCAGCGAGAAGTGAAGAGTAGCCTGGCCATGCTGTATTGCGGCTCCTGATCTCGATGTCGTACGCGCCATTGTTGCTTTCCATGACAGTGACGTGACCAAGTCGAAAGAGTCGTCTTTTTGCGTCTTCGTTCCAGGACTTGCAGACCATTGCAGCCACGACGAGGCTGAGGTAGGGCATGTACGATACTATTGTGTCAATGATATGAGGGAAGAACCGGTGGTCAATCGTAACGCCTTGTGCTGGCGGTGACGACGCCTGACCGTCTACAAGTGCTGGGAGCGGCAACGGCATTTGGTCCTCCGAGTTTGGACTAGCGAAGGGACGAACGGGTAAGCGACTGAGTGTGTTTGGGACATTGTGAAGGTTTGGCCACCTCGACCCAAGGACCATAGCACCCGGTCAACTGAGACACGGTCGGAACCAAAAAAGCACTCAGCGCGCGCGCTGGGCTGACTGGCCCCCTCTCACGATCAAGTCTCAGACGCTTGGGAGCACTGGCAACTTGACATGTATGGTATGTGCACATGTTCAGTGATCACAGAGAGACATCACTTGCATGCTCGTAGGTACAGATAGGTACATGACGGGTCACGAGGACTACTTGGAGGTGCACAGCCTATATTGCTCCTCCCCGAGCAGCTTCGTGTAGTCCTCGTGCGTCCAGAACTTCCAACGGCGGTCCCTCCTCTTAAGGATGCGGCGGCAATGCTCCTCCAGAACACCCTTGATGGCTGCGTTGCGGAAGTACTTGATGTGGAGAGGGCTGCGGAAGAAGAGCTCCAGCCCGACAACGTCGACGCGCTTGATCTCCGTCAGGGCGTTCTCCATGAAGCCCTGGACAAAGGCGATGGTGTACTCCCAAACTTCGGTGGCTTGGCAATCTTGTCGTGCAGGACCACAGTGAGATGGTCAGTGTTGGGATCCCAGGAGTCGTTGCCTGAGGCAAACATGTCGGACTCAGAGTCGACCGGGTTGGCATAGCAGTCAATGTTGACGATAAGGTCCGCAAGATCCAAGGTCAAGGACATGCGCTGATCGGCGGAGGCTTGCTATCGCACCGTGTAGAGCTTATAGCGCACATCGCCGACCTGCTCCTTGTACTCATCGTGCGTCAGGAATTTCCAGTACGTCGTAAACTCTTCGTCTTCATCAGACCACGGCTCCCCGGAATCCTCCGCATCCGTCCTAAATTGCCGCGCGACTCTTTCACGGAATGCAGGCCACTCGGTATCCGGAAGAAACGCCTCGAGCCCGACTATGTTGATGTAGGCGCTTTCCACTCGAACGATGTTGAGGTAGGTCATGACCACGTCGATCTCAGCGGCGGCCCCGGACGGTGGAGGTTGGCGAGGCTCTGGTCGCGCGTCTTGGAGTATGAGAGTGACCTCGTCAGTGCAACCATCCCAGCCGTAGAAGCTGACGGCGTTGTCATGGTCGGACAGCGTCAATCGAAGGGGGTCGACGGTGCACCGGACGGTCGAGATCACAGTCTGCGGTTGGAACTGCGTATAGCGAAGGGTCACGGAGGGAGCAGACGGTCCAGTGAGATCGTGGAAGAACAGAAGCGTATCCATGTTCAGAGCGTCGATCGGCCGAGGCGGCGTTCCGTACCAGCGAACGAGAGGGATACGTTGGATAAACTTGCGAAGCCAGACTTGATCCTGTTTGGGGCTGAATCTCTCAGCTCCAACCAGGTCCAGAACCTGGACCTTCGCCATCATTGCCATCCACACGTTTCCTGGCTCAGCGGCCGAAATTGGTACCGTGTGAAAGTAGACGGATGTCGAAGCATCTAGAGTGCGAACTTGAAGGCGTCCGTCTGACTGATACTCGACAGAGAGGTGCCATAGCAGTTTGTCCACCCGGCGTGCCCAATCTTTGCACACGAGGCGTGCAACTTGGAGGTCAAGGAAGTCCAGTTCCCTCCATATGCAGTCGAAGATGTGCGGAAAGCTATTGTGGTGGATGGCGACCATGACGAATAGCGATGTTGTAATCGTTCGAGCTGTTCGATGTTGAGTGGACCTGATACTGGGCTACGAGCCGAGACTGTGCGGTGGCGTCAAGGGCTTACCGCACTACTCCGCGCCGCGGGGCACCACAGTCGGATCTCGTTGCAGATTCCACAATTATCGCCTGGTCTGAAGCTTGTATGTCTCTTTACCAACCTCAGCCTCGTACTCCGCGTGCGTCAGAAACCTGCACCGCTGGCTGAACTGTTCGGCAGTAATGGCGCGCGACTTGCGTGCTTGTTGCTCAATGCTGCCGATGAACTCCTGAAGCGCGGATTCCTCCGGAAGCCACAGCTCGAGGCCGACGATGTAGGTAACCAGTTGCGCAGAGCCGGCGCGATTGATAAAACCGTAGATATAATCAATGTTTGATCCAGACGCTGGGGCTTTCAGTAGATTTGAGTCTGTCGAGGTTGCACCGGCATCTATCGCCAACGGGGGTTTGTTCAGGATCACGAAGATACGCTGAGTCAAGCGGCTGTTGATGTCAAAGTGGGCACTGTCGGAAGCGGCAGTCGGGTCCGCATGGCATTCCACGCTGACAGTGACGACGGTCGGATGGCGCATGGTGTCGACCAAGATCCGTGGCGCCTTCTTGCCGGGCTTCAGTTGGACGAAAAACAGGGTGTGCTTCAAGTTGAGATCCTCCATGGGGCATGGAGGGGGGCCGTACCAGCGCAATATACGGGCATTGCGTGCGAACCGGGGTAGCCAATAGCCCTCCTTAAGCGCATAACGACCTCCGATGACATCCACGACGGCCGCATCGTTCGCGGGCGGCTCCCACCAACCTTCTGGTGTGCCTGGCTCATCCCACGGGTCAGGGAAGCGCGGGTGCACATGCACGAGCAGCGATGGAGGCGGGTAGTTGATGTCACGAGCTTCGAGCACAACACGACCGTCCTTTTTGCAAACAAGCGCCAGGTGTCGGTGGCCCTTAGCGTGGAGGAGCTGGGCGGTTCGTTGGCGCCATGACTTGCAAACGTTTCTGGCCACGAAGCAGCCTCCAAAATCGAGGTAAGAGAGGATCTCGTCGATGATGTGCGGGTAGTAGCGGTGGTCGAAGGCGACCATAGTCGATGGTAACGGTAGCCTTTAGGTGACTATCGTCGTCGTCGGCGCGCGATCAAAGTCTGCATGAACGGTGGGCGCCTGCGATTGAGATGGTGGCGAGTGATGGAGGCATGGGTGCGATCGGGACGGTTGTTGATGCCTAACACAATTTTTGGACGAAGCCGAAGCGGAGTCATACCCACGTGAGTCTCGCTGCGTCCGTGGGAGAGTGACCGCTTATCAATGGACTGGGGGTGAAACGGGAGGGGTGGATCGGCATTCAACGTCAAGACGCAAGACGACCTTCCCCTCCACCCATTGCAGTACCCTTCGCGGTCACTTCGAGACGAGTGCATGCAGTGCATATGCCAACTTTGCACATGGCGTCAGTGATGCTTGGAGTCAGGCACTAACATACATAAAGAAGAGGTGTCTCGTGCCGCCAATATCACTAGCTTGGGCGCATCTGCGCCCCTCCCTCCACCTGGTTGACTCACCTGGCTCGCCTTGAGTCATGATTGATCCCTACACACCTATTTGCCTCCGGCCAAATCAGCCGTCACCATCCCTCTGGACCTCTCTGACAGGTGACACAGATCGAAGACATTCCTCCGGCCTGCCCAGCACACTTCCTTCATCCTCCCGCCTTTTTCACCACTCAACACTCCTACAGTTCGCCCAGACTTTGCTGCCACTACCCCGCTCCCACTCTCTGCGCCGCGTTCCCCCGTCGTTGTACGTCTCCTTCGATCTCCGCAGTAAAGCCAACCTTTCCACCCCGACTCACCGACCTACCCCCTTGGAGCTCATGCTCACCTCATAAGCTCATCTCGGCACAGCTGCGCAGTTCCCAGTGCCCACGATGCCCATCGATCACCTGTATTACCCGCACATCGTTGACCTGATTTGGTTCCACTTGCAACGCGACGCACTCCGCGCTGTGCGCCTGGTTAGCAAGGCCTGGAATGCACGAGCCGACCTCGCTCTGTCCCAGCACATCGTCATTAAACGCAAAGATGCTTCAAACTTCGACGCCTGGATTCGCTGCCTGAACCATCCTGGAGAAGTGATTGACATCACCCAGGACGCGCGAATCTGCTTGAACAGCGGCGGGGAATCTGCCGCTGCACACTCTGAAAATTGCATGTTTTGCAAGCGTGTTCCAAGCCGCACTGGTGTTGTCGACCTCGAGGGATACACGATGGAGACCATGCTGGAGGAGCTCGGTTGGCTGGAGTGTGCCTCGTTGAACTTTCGGTGGAAGATCGACGTTTACCGCAGTCGCGACCCTTACAATCTCGTGGGACTGCCTGAGTCTTTCGCGTCGGCAGTGTTCTACATTGACCTGGACGACGAGGACAAGGACGAGATCACTTTCGACATGTACGATGGTGACAGCACGCTGGTGTTCAACATCGATTGTTATGTCGATCCCACTTCCACCTCAGCTAACAGGCCCTTCGGCGTGGAGTTCTGCAGGAACTCTCCTTGGGGAGGCATGCTGCGCTTCATCTTCTTCGACAAACGCACTGCAAACCAGCCCGTGAAGGTCTCACGCAATGCATCGTTCATTGCCGGTCTGCTGGACTATCACCATATGATGTTGGTTTCGGTTCAGTTCGTCGGCCTGGAGCGTTTGATTACGGACCCCAACAAGCTCAAGGCCTTCAAGGGTATGGTCACGAGGGACTTCGTCGATCGCCGAGCCAAGAGAGATGCGAACCTCAAGCCTCGCGATTACTACAAGAAGGAGTGCAGGTCGGACATGAAGCGCGTCGAATACCTCACCATGGAAGAGTATCAGAAGAAGGTGGGACGGCGTCAGTTCCTGATTGACACTGTTAAGTAGGCTTGTACAGTGCACCCTGCCTCAGGTCTAAGGTTTTGTTAAGCACAGCTACGAGAGACCGGGAGAAGACCTGTGAAGTACAACAAGAGACCGCGCAGGTCCTGAGCATGGCCCTACATACTTTGTGGATTAGAGAAGAAACTATGCAATGCATGTTCATAGAACCCCTCTCCTGCTGGACAGGTCTGTAGCCGCAATTGATCCCGCGCCGCCAGCGCGTAGAGTCAACACCGCTGACTTTGGTGAACCGATTTCAACTTCGCTTCCACGACACCAGTGCAACCGATCGACGCTGCTCGATCATATCCTTACAGCTTCACAAGTCAAGCATCGAATTACCACCATCCAGCTATCTTCCGTGTAGACTTTTCACCGGGATGAAACTCAGGTCTGCAACACGCCGCGCCACCGCGGCCCCGGCTACTGTCATCGACCATCAGTTTTTTCCACACATCATCGACCAGATTTGGACTTATCTGTCTGTCGACGACCTGCAGCCTCTTCGAACCGTCTGCAAGGATTGGAGGATTCGAGCGGACCTCAAACTCTCAAATCACCTCGTGATCGAGAGAAAGGATACGACGTACGATGTCCGCGTACGCTGTATTCAACATCCAGGTGCTACGGAGTCGATTACCAATCTATTTCAAGGCGACTGTCAATGCATCGACCCCGACCTCAACGGTTAAGACCGCGCCGAAGAAGAGGAGAGGGACTATGCCATCTTCCTCCCTTGTGGTCGACTTTTCTGGGAACCGATCATTGACATTGTTGGTTATACTCCGGAGACGGTGGACTTTGGATCACCACCTTTCAGCCTGATACCAAGACACTCTACGCTTAGGTGGCATACCGACCTGACACACGAAAATGAATCATCGTGGTACCTTGATCTTGGCTTCGACCAAATCTTTTGGCTCAAACATGGTGGCGTTGAGCACAGCGTCATGACCTTTGACCTCAACGACGATGCCCTCTATGACCCTTTCGAGTCTTTGGAGGTCGTGGTTAACTTCGAGTGCTCCGCCAGTCCGGCGTCGGGAATGGCGTCGATGCAGCTAGATATCCCGGCTTGGCTGGAGGACGAGAGCCGGGGAAGTCTCACCTTCATTTTCCACGACAACAGGACTGAGAAGGAGAAGCCTCCTCCAGCCAACCCTGACTTCATCGTTGATCTCTTGCAAAGTTATCCCGCCGCAGGAACCTCTATCAATCTCGTCGGCTTGGAAAACTTCATTAGAGGAACTCGGACAATGGAGATGTTCAAGCAGTCCGTCTTTCGCGGGTTTGTAAACCATCGAGCCGAGCTCGTGTCTGGGGACCCGGAGGATTATGAAGACGTGTGCGGAGAGGACTGGAAGCTGGTGTGTTTCCTCACCATGCAGGAGTATGAAGAGGAGGTGGGCCATGAGAGGTTCATCGTACACACGGTGAAGTAACCGCTTCCATACAGTAGCCGATATTTGTGCCAGTATGCATCATGGAGTGCATTGACGCCGTGGTGTTGCTGCACCGCATCTGGGAAAACGGCTGTGCACTGTGTAAAGCCAGGAAGCTGACATTCTTTGAATGCTGTACGATACCTTCTATGAGACGTGAAGCCAGAGGTTGTGGTGTGTGAGGGCTTCGGCAGGGCGTTTGTCATGTCCGTTGGTTCCGTTGCATTCTGCCACGATACGACCGCCAAGTCTCAACCTCCTTTTGTCTTCCACACTCCACACCACGCAAACGTCTTCACGCTTATCTTCACCCCCGTCTAGTAACCGTCATGAGCCCGTCGTGCACGAGCGTATCCCTAGTCACACGTATCCCTAGTCACACCACGCGCGGGGCCTACCTTATCCAACGCTCGGCCCGCTACAATTCAGATCTGTACCACCACCCACCGCAGCCAACCACCTGAAGCCGCTGCCATGACAGTCATCGACCATCGATTCTATCCGCACATTATCGATCAAATCTGGACACACCTGTCCGTCGGCGAGGTTGAACGCCTTCGCCAGGTCTGCAAGTGCTGGTCGATTCGAGCCGACCTAAGCATTTCAAATCGTCTCACAATTGCAAGGAAAGAGTGTTCCACGCCCCCTTACGAGATACGGGCACGATTACTTGATAACCCCAGCATCACGAGCATAATCACGGAGGAGGTTCAAAACGGATGCGTCTGCCTGTTCCTAGAAGGAGACAACAGTGACAGCGAAGGGAGAACCCGTCTGACTCTAGGCCAACGAATCTGTCGATTTTGCAACAGGTTGGATGACTCGCTGATAATCGACGTGGTTGGGTTTGCGCCCTCGATGTTGGACATGCAGTCGGCGCCGCTAGAGGCGCTTTGCCATGACGCTCGAGTCAGGTGGCTTACCGACTTCAGCCACTTGCCTGAGTGTCACTTGGACCTCTATGCAGCTGCAGACTATGTCTTTTTTCTCCAGTACAACGGTTACGCATGCTCCCGCATCACCTTCGACTTCAACGCCGGTAACAATTACAGCACATTCGATTTCGTTGACCTGGTATTCAACTTTGACTGTCATGCCAATCCCACCACAAGCACCTCGTCGAACGTGCTTCTCGATCCAACTGGGCCAGCGTATTCGGACCGGGACTGCCTTACTTTCGTTTTTCACCACAAGATGAGCCAGCTCTCGAAATCACCATCAAACCCTGCGTTCCTCGTTGGCCTGTTGCAATGCTACAGGATGCCGGAAGTTCATGTGTGCTTCGTCGGCCTGGACAGCTTCATCGAGACGACCGAGGCCTTGCGGAGTTTCGAGCGGGCTGTATTCCGCGGCTTCGTTGAATACCGCGTGAAGTTCTTCTCGGGGGAAATGGGTCGAGAGGCCTGCGAGGAGATGTGTGAGACGGACTGGGACCTGGTGACATTCTTGACCATGGAAGAGTACAAAACCAAGGTCGGCCCTGAGCAGTTCCTCATCAACACTGTCAAGTAGCCGATTCCGTCAAGTAGCCGAGACTTCTGTGTATGCAAGCGTCGTGAAAGTCGTAGCATGCATAGCAGCGGTACTAGGCTCAGTCCCAGAGACGCGCGGGGCACAATGCATGCCGGTTGAGGAAGTCCACACCAGTCGTGCATGTCATGAACGGCGCCGTGCATGCGCACCGGCCGCCGTGGCGCAAAAGGCGTGCGCCATCGATGGACGGCTTCAAAACGTAGCACACTGTCGTGAGCAGGCGAAGTCGTGAGGTTGACGCAACACACGTCAACCGACCTACTTGCTCTCTATCGCTGTCGCTCACCAACACGTCACAACATCTCAACTTCTTCTGTCAGAATCAACACTTCCTTTGCTCGCTCCACGCCGACAGCCCCATCCGGTGTCGCGAAACGATCTCCACCAGCCAGTCGACGGGTCAAGGACCTCCACTTACGCCTCAAAGTATCCTCCACCACTCCTCAACTCCGCAATGTCGACCATCGACCATAGCTACTACCCCCACATTATCGATCTGATCTGGGATCACCTTGACTATGAAGATCAGGTGGTTGCCCGGGCCGTTTGCAGCGAGTGGACAGCCCGCGCTGATGCAAGACTGCTCCACCTCGTGATCAGTTGCCCGCAAGGCAAGCCGCCCCACGTCTACGACGTCTCCACCCGTGACCTGTCCCGACCAAACGTCCCTCCAGCTTGGCTCACTGAGACAAGCCGCACACTACACCGACGCCCGAGGCGACACCCCACTCATCCCGTCAACGAACCAGGTGCCCACGACCTCCAACGCCAAAGGAAGCTGGCCGCCCATTTCAAGGCCAACGCGTTGGATGCCGTCGAGGTCATCGACTTTGTTGGTTTCGACCTTAGGTCTCATGCTCCACTCGCGCTGGGTAGGAACCCCTTCATACGGTCCATTCTCAAAGAGTATGGAGTGGTCAGGTGGTTCGGCAGCCCACCCGACTTGACAGATCTTGGAGGCCCCTACGACTACTACAATGACCCCGAGGAAGTAGAGCTTCCGCCAGCGCTCGTCGACGTCTACATGTTCTCCTTTCAGAGCAACGCGCCTGTGAGCGTGCTGAAGTGGAAAGACCTCGTCAACAGGAAGAGACTCCAAATCATCGACTACGTCTGCTACTCAGACCCCACCGGTGCTTCACCTTCCCTTGGCCCGCTCATCGACGTCGATTCTCCCAGCCGTAGTCTGTGCCCCGTCAACATCATCTTCCACAATCGCATTCCTCCTTCCTACCAGTCGCTGCCGGCATTGGATCCTGGAATTGTAGCGGCCTACGGAGAGCTGGTCCTCGGCGGCAACGTGGTGGCTATCGTGGGTCTCGAGGAGTTCTTGAACCCGAAGGAGCTGCGCAAGTTCATCAAGATTGTTGACCGCGAGGTCATCCGCGGTCGCTGGATCGACGACGACGATGGGGGCCAAACGTGGTGGGTGCCAAACCAGTCATGCTTGGAGGACCTGTGCTACTGGACGCACGAAGAGTATCGTCAGCACGTCGGTGAGGAGACGTACAGGATCCGTACTGTGAGATAGGACATTGCGGTGGACGAAAGAGGCATGCATCGTTTAGCCCATAGCCCAGCTGTTGTCGCAAGATCGGCGTAATCAGCATCCGTTAGGGCGCTCCCTTGAGGACAGCGCAATGAAACTGGGCACTTCCGTCCACGCGTCTACGCGAATTCCGTTCCGTTCTGCTTTGTCACCTCCCACCTTCTTCACCGCAACGGCTCTGTTCTCCGCTTCCTCCTGCGTCACGTCCGGCCCCCGAGCTGGCCGCTGTCACAACTTCGAGTGGCGACTGTTCCAACCCGCCAAGAACGGTACTTCCTCCATCCTGACATCATGGCCACGATCGACCACCTCTTCTTCCCACACATCATCGATATCATATGGCTGTATCTCGACTACGAAGGCCAGATTGCCGCTCGAGCAGCGTGCAAGGATTGGAGGGACCGCGCCGACGCAAGGCTGAACCACATCGTTATCTCGTGTTCTGAGCGACCCAGATTTCCCCACATATTCGACATCTCCACCCGCGACTTGACTCAACCTTTTTCCTCTCGCGCTTGGCTGGGATCCATGTTCCATTGGCACAATATACGTGATCACGAGTGGGAATGCGGCTGTAATCGGCGCCAGTGCCCTCAGCTCGTTCTTCATGAAAGCGAAAGGCTGGCTGTCCACCTTGAGCGCACTGGCCTATCAACTACAGCGGCGGTGGATCTTGTCGGCTTCGGCTTAGATTGGCCGCGCGTCCCGCCTGATTTGAGTTGTAACAGTCTTCTTAGCACTGTTCTTGTCGAGTCGGACTGCACGATACGATGTTACGGTGCCCTCCCCGACCTCTCAGACTTCAAAGATTGCTGTTACGCTTACAACCATGATTTCTTGGATTGTCCACCGTCGCTGGTCGACGTTTGCATGATGACGCTTGAACCGGATATGCCAATCGACACACTGTCATCAACGGAGCTATCAATGCGTGTAGACGTCCAAGTCGCCAACTATCTTTGCCTCACGGATCCCACTGCCTCCTATCCAAATCTGTCTACGGTTTGGAGCGAGTATCGTGATGATGAGGTGTGCCCCGTGACCGTCATCTTTCACAACGGCATGCCTCGACACGATCACACTCCGCCAAGCAAGCAGCCGGATCTCGTAGCAGCATATGCCGATCTCATCCATGGCGGTAATGAGGTCATCATTGTCGGCCTGGAGGAGTTCCTGGATTCCAACGATATTCCAGAGTACATCGAGACCGTCGAACGCGAGGTTCTGAGAGGACGCCGCATTTACGATTATGAAGAAGAAGACGACGTATGGTGGGTCCCCGAGAAGTCATGCTTGGACAACTTGTTCTTCATGACTCATGAAGAGTATCGAGACCACGTCGGCGAGGACATGTACCGCATTCATGCTGTGAGATAGCTCGATACAATGATGCAGGGTTGAACCTCTCATTTTGCACACGATCAGCACGGATTGGATCCGTCGACTCCGCAGAGTTTAGTCAACCAGGAGTGCCGCCACCCAGTCTCTTGACTCTGCATCTTCCTCACCTCACTACCACCTCTCTCCAACTCCAGCACAACTCGAGGACGCTTCCAACGCCGGCTCAACAGAAGGACCATGACCGTGATAAACCACAATTCCTTCCCCCACATCATCGACTGCATCTGGCAGAACCTCGACTATGAGGGTCAACTCTTTGCTCGCGCAGTCTGCAGGCAGTGGCGAGACCGAGCCGACTCGCGGCTTCGTTATATCAGCTTCCATTTCCAACAAACCAAGACTAGACGGCGCTGTGAGACAGTGTACAGCCGCGATCTCGCGACTCCTTTCGCTCCAGCTGTCCGCCTCCACAACCTCGAACACTGGCTTCCCGCCCAGGGCCTGATGCGGAAAACGGCCAGAGAGTCGGTTCGTCGGAGGACGGCTCCTATTGAATCCCGCCCACCGTCAAGAGCGGACATAATCAACTACCAGCTGGCGACCGCCATCATGCGGACCGCAAGGGTGATCGACTTTGTCGGGTTCTGGGACAGGTACGCAATGTGTCTTCCCAGTGGTGTATTCTTGGACCAGCGGTACTCCCCTCCCTTCGACCAGTGCATCATCCGTTGGTTTGAGGGAAGCATCTCTCCGAGGGCTCCGGAGACTTTCGTCGATGAGGAAGCCTCCTTTTCCGCGGACGTAGTCATGCTCGAGCTACGCTCAGATTGGGCTGTGCAGACGCTCTTCGCACCGGCTTTCCGGAACCGGCGGAAGAAGGTCATCATCAACTACGCCTGTTATACGAACCCCACAACCCTCTCGCTCGATTACAGTGTTATCGGTTATGAGGTGCTGTACGTCAGTGACGTCCCAGTCGTGGTCGTCCTGCACAACAGAATCGACGCGTCGACCGACAGCGACCACGAGACCCTGCAGACAAGACTCATTCGCGAGTATTCCAACCTCGTGCACATCGGCTGTACGATTGATATCGTTGGTCTCGAAGAGTTCCTCCCTCCGGGCACCCTAGCTCCCTACGTCAAGCTAGTCAAGGAGGAGATCATGAAGGGTCGTTTCATGTACGAAATCGAAGATGAGGAAGACTGGCAGTACGACGAGGACTTGAAGTACTGGTGGACGCCGGAGGTGGAGAACTTGGACCGTCTGCGCTTCTGGACGCACGCTGAATACCGTGAGCACGTTGGCGATGAGATGTATCGCATCCATACTGTTAGGTAGGTGTTAGCCAAGCATGTATCAGTGTAGCCTGTTGCTGCCCCGCGAGCTTGGGAGGTCGGGGATCAGCAGCCGTTGATCAGCTGCGTACGCTTCACGCTTGCCATAAGGTGCTCCCGTTCACTGATCATCGTTCCTCGTTTCACCAAACCTCTCACGTTCATTCTCCACCTCAAGCGTCAAGACTTCGCCCTCACGCTCATTGTGACTGACCGGAATCCACTGCACCTTGGTGCCAGACCGGACCACATCCGCCTTGGTACCAGTTGTCGTCCACAGGGCTGTCACTGTCGGCTCACGATCCGACACCCACAATCTGACCATCAGTACCTCCAACGCCCAACACTTCGCTTTACCCAGTCGCCACTCAGGCTTCCTAGGAAGGTAGGTGTTGTGCGTTATTCGGAGCCCCTTCTCTTGTCCTTGACAAGGGAACAAGGCCAAGCAATTCACCTTCCTTGTCATGTTCTCGTTGCCGGACCTCGGCAATCGGCCCTGCCGTGAGTGTTTCTTACATCCATGTCTGCCTTCCCTCATCCAAGTTGCCCCCATCCGCCAAGTGAGCAACGCCGCCATCCCTTGCAGCCCAGACCGGCTCCTGGGTGACCAAGCTCACCTGACCTAGCACGAGTAACGATGTCCGGCGGGGCGACCTAGCGGCGAACTTTGGTGCGCCGTGACTCGGGCTGATACTCTGCCCAGTCGCAGCGCCGAACGCCGCCGTGGATTGCCGCGCACCTCCCCACCTGCAAAATCCGGCTGGCGTTGGGCCCCCAGGCCGCCGCAATTTCCGATATGAACAGGTCAAGCCTCGCCTGGTTCGGCACGCTCGGCACGGTGTGCTTGGCGCAGCCGAGCGAATGGGGAACTCTCGGTGTAGTCGCAGAGCGAGCGAATGGCGGAGCGATCAGCTCTGTCGCACCCGATGTCGTTGCTCAACGCCGGAGCTGAAGACTCCAGTCCCATGCACCGGAACCAGGACTCATGCGACATCTGAGAGGTCACCGAGCAGAAGCGCGGCAGCGCATCCCCGTGCCCGCCGGCCGGCTCTTTTTGGAAGTTCATCGACGTCGCTGGATAATCGATGAGGTGAGTTGATCGCAAGCCCACCTCCACCAACTGCGCAAGACGAACGCCATGGCTTGCAATGGGGTTCGGCGACCAGTCACAAGGCGCGTAGAACCTATCGGTCCAGGGAGGTAATTAGCAGCGATGAAACCGGCGAGGACGGAGCTTGGACCGCTCGGACCGCTCGGGGGCTTGGCCCATCGCAACTCGAGTTGTTATGGGACCGTAAGTTGTCTTGGGGAAGATCATGTCGATGGGAAGGACATACAACCACGCGTGCGCTATCGCCGGACCGCATGGGCCGCATGGGCTGGTCATTCTCGGCGACTGAACCGGCGCCGCGCGGACGCTGTCCCTTGCGTGGGCGCTCGGCGTCGTTGGAAGTTCGGCCTAAGGAGCGCACAAGCACCAGTGACAGGCGATGGGATAGGCGGTGGCGGGGGAGGACGTGCGAGGCTGGGTGACTGCGGAGAGGTGATGGGATATGGTCATCATGGATAGGTAAGCAAGACGGGGATGGGTGAGGAGCTCATCAGACGTGCTGCATGTGAGTTGCGCTGCTAAGTCCACGATAGCGACCGGACGGTCGAGCCGTCGAGACAGACGTCTCGACGACTGGGAGGACGACCAGTGAAAAACAGTGCGAGCCGGCGGCAGCCACGGGATCTGGATCTAGGGCGGCCGGAGCCGGGCGACGAAGGTGGACGGTGGGATGTGCGCTGGTTCTCGGGGATGAAGGACGGTGCAGAGGGCAGAGAACAACGAGTGCCGAGTGTTCTGTCCACTGGGATGAATCGTGAGGACGGGCAACGGAGAGGAGGCGCGAACGGTTCAGGTGGAAGATCATGAGTGATGTGCGGTTTAGGCTGAACGAATGATTGGAGGATCGAAGTTGATCACAGCGAACAGGATTCAGAGCAAGTGGTGGGTTCGCAGGGCGAGGTGAGGTATGCTTCGGTGGTTCATTCCTCCGGGCAAGCAGAGGCTGAGACCTGCGACCTGCGTTGCATGCTTTTCTGACGCCGCCAGAGTGGGCCAGCATCGTCTGCGAGTAGGGGTGGATTCCCACGGACACCATCGCTCGTGAGGTGTGCCTGACGTCCTGACGGAAACGGCCGCCGATCGTTGTGTGCGCTAGCGCCTGCGGCGGGGTGCGAGCGTGTTATGGTTTGATCGCTTTATTGCATGCATCAGAACGCTTATTGTGCCTGAGGGTTCATGTTCCCTGCTGCCCACTGCATAATGCTTGGTTGGCTGATTTGCTCGCCCGCAGAGCTTGGCCAAGCGAAAGGGTGGAAGGGATACGAGTCTGCGGCATGAACCTCCGCAATGGCTGCAGATGACCCTGGCTTGCATGGCTTGTCGTCCCTGGCTGCCCTGTGGACCCCTGGCATGCCTGGTCCGAATCTGAAGCTCACACCACAGATCTCCTCGCATCTCTCGGCGGCGTGCACCCCCGCACACAAGCCAGCTAGCACCCAACTGCATCCTCGTTAAGCAATGATCTCGCCACTTTAACAGCCGCGGCTGTCAGTTAGTCACGTTTCAGCCTGGTCATCTCTTCATCTCATCATCCATCCATTACTCACATCATCGACTTCTTATCGCGACCCCGCATTCCGGACCTCCACTTTCCTTTGTCAGCTCCCCACTCCCTGCGGCGACCACTCACGCTCGATCATCCATCACAACATCCACCCGGCGACACGGCACATTCTCCTCCACTCAACTCGTTCTCCGGCTTACTCACAACCACGGATATTTCCCGCACGCAATCGACGGCCGAAGCGCCCATCCATTCAGCCCGGTTCCGACCATCCCCCACGCTGACTCTTTCCCCTTCTTCCCACAGACTACATTTAACTCTTCGCCAACTGCGCCTACTCTCGACAAGACACTCCCCACGTCTGCATGGTCGCTCTCGATGACCGCTTCTATCCCCACATTGTCGACCAAATATGGTCCTACATGAACTACCCCGACTATCTCATCGGCCGCCGCGTGTCCCGGTCCTGGAAGCGGCGCGCCGACCACCGTCTGCGGACCGAGGAGAACCTCGCTCGGCATATCTCCATCAGCGTCTCCCGCGTCGGCGGATCGAACGGCAAAGCCGTGACCAACGGATTACCCGAGTATGTCGGAAAAGGCAAAGGCAAGGCGAAGGAGGTCGAGGTCGAGATAGTTGCAGACGATAGTGGTGACGGCGTCGACATGATAGAGGTGCGCAGCCGCGACGTCTTCGCCCCCCATCGGAGCGTCATCCTGTGCTACGAGCCGCTATCATTCTGGAGCTTTGCCGGCAATCCCGAGCTCGAGCGCCACTGGAGTCTGCTGTTCGCCAAGACGGAGCTCGTCGACCTCATGGACGTCATGTCCTTCCGCGACGGCAAGGATTACGGCCGACTACCGTCCATGATCGGGCCTTTTGCGACATTACGCTGGCACCACGGTGGGCGCGGCGTGGGGCCGCTGCTGACGGATCACTCGACGCAGGTCGTGTTCGGCGCCGTCGATGCCGCCCGCGGCCTGACCGTCCCACGACTCCGCATCTCGACAGCAGGCCTGGCCGAAGTCGTGATCAACGTGGACTGCTTCACGAACCCGCTGAAAGACACGGCCTGCCTCGACTCGCTGAACTCGGTCCTCGCGCTCCCCGACTTCATCAAGGAGTGGAGCATGATCACGATGATCCTGAACAACAAGATTCCGGACTGGGACAAGGCCAAAGACTCGAGGCCAGGGTACACGAGTGTCGGCCTCATGATCAATTTCATCGAGACGGCGCGCGAGCTCGAGCTCACCGTGCGCGTCGTCGGTGTCGAGCGCTTCCTCGATGACCCCGATTTGTGGGACACGCTCCTGTTCCGCGTCCGCGAGCAGATGGAGGATCCGGAGGAACGCAACGACCTCGTCGTGTTCTGGACCCATGAGGATTACAAGATGCAGTACGGCATCGAGCAGTATCTGACGCATACTGTGCGATAGCCTGGATCAAGCTCACAGTAGCGAGCCCTCGTCCCGGACCAGTCTGGACCCTCGCTTCGCCCACACCCACCGAGCATTACCAGGCTCATCGACCTTCATCCAGGCTCATCGCTCCACATCGGTGGCCACAACTCCACAACAACACAAACAACGCATTAATCATAGGAATATCACTTTTTGGGATGGATCGCTTTCATATCTGGGTACAGATCTCAAGCAAATACCGAGGGGGACGTTTCCGTTGGAAAATTGAGCTGCCCGTTGCCCGCTGTTCGCCTGCCCGGGGTATCTGCCTCGAATCGACGACCTGGGCGGGCAGGAGGACGGCGAGCGGGCAGAGCAAACTGACGCGTTGAACATCGCTCTGCATCAGTAGCATCCGACCAGCGTCATGCGAAAGAGGGGATGACGGTCAGCGCCAAGGGTCGCTTATCACGGCAGAGCCCACTGCCGCGGTAAGTGATAGTGTTCGAGTGTTCCGACGGGAAGACGTGTGTGCATGGGGAGCGCGTATCGAGCCTGCCAAGGAGCTGGAAGCTGTGAGGAGGGAGTGAAAAATTCACGAAAGTTGTTCGGTTCCAAGACCTCGGCTCCCCGCTGATCGACACAACCGCGAGATGATGTCAGCACCTCAGCAAATGGACCCTTGCTGATCTCCCGCTCTATTTGGTCCCATTTGGCCCATTTCGGTACATTTGCCCGCACCCCTCGTGAATGCCTCTGCACCAGCGCACGGCCACCACTCGACAGGTGGTTGTATCTGGGTTCCAGCCGATTCCAGCTGATGCGAACAGAACGAAGGAGGCATGGAAAGTGAAGGGAAGTATTTACGGAGAAACAAAGCATAGCGGAGGAAAGGGAGGCTGTTCGGGTCCGTTGGTGTGGCTGTCGGCGATCGCCGCTGGGTTTTCGGTCCATTTCTCGTGTCAGGTTGAGCAACGCCGTGCTCTGGTTGCTCTACTTCGAGGTGCCCTTGATCATCATTTGGGCAGGCCATAGCCACTCATCACAGTGATTACACCGCACAACGACAGCGACTGAATTCTGACAATTCTCTGAACTAACATGACAACTCTCCGCCGAGGATCTCGTTGCTGAAGACATGATGGTTTGCCGTCCATGGCAACACGTCTGTTCGCTTTAGGCTCTCCGAGTGCTCTGGTTCGTCCTCAATCTGCCGAAGCCCGCGACACACGCTCGGCTCGCTCGGTGCCCTTCGCCTTGCACACGAGCCGAACCCAAGGCGGAAAGATCAGGGACATCGATACAGGGTGCGGGCAAGTGGGACGGCCAATTCGGCAGGTGGAACGCCAGTTCCGTTTCGGACTCATTCTGAGCGTTCCAGCTCGTCGACACTTGGGACTCTGGTTCGCCAATGACCGAACTACTTGATGAATCCTCATCTACGCCAGCAAAGGAACAATGTTTGAGGAGTGACCGTGGGAGGGTGGAGGTCCGGTGGAGGTGGTCCACTCACCTCGAGCAGGAAGAGCGATCGACGACCGCCGATCGCTACGCCCAGCTGACTTTCCTCGCCACTTTTTGTTCCGTCTTCCTGCTCACTTCTCACTTAACCGGCTTCGTTATAGGGTTCTCGCCTCTCCTCCGCAACAGACCCTAAGACACAGTACCACTGTGACCTAGCCTTTCTGCCTCGGAATCTGCGTCATGGTTATGATCGATCATACCTTCTTCCCTCATATCATCGACGCCTTATGGGCACGTATGGATTTCGACTCCGTTCTCGCCGCTCGGACAACTTCAAAGGAGTGGCTACGGCGCGGGAACAAGAGGCTGCGTCGGCACATGCTTCTGCAACCGCCTGATCAGTACGACGAAAGCAGTAGTGACGATGTCTCGACAGTGATCAAGTACGGGTACATGGAAGACAACTACTATCTTACTTTCCTGCTGTTGAGCACCAAAGATACAACCTATGAGGCGTTCGACTCGCAGAACATCCGTCCCCGCCGCCTCAGCGAGACTGATATCGACACACTGCGGCATCCGCCAGCTCCCGGGACACTCTGCGAGGTGCTCCAGGATGTCGAAGTCTTGGATGTCCGGTTCTCACCCGAGCTCTATCAATCCTTCGTGAGCTACGATGTGCTCCTGTGGCATGCTCAAAAGAGGGCCATCATCCGGGTCAATTTGATGCAGCACACGCCGGGCGTAGTCCCAGAGACCACCGTGGGGGGAATGGGCGGTACGCAGGTCTATTTCGTTCACCTTCAATCCTCCATCGACATCAGAGCGTTGGTGCCTGAGACTGTCATCCTCAATTTGAACTGCCAAGAGGATAGCCCGGGCTTCAGCTACCGCCACTCACGTCTCGAGGTTTCCCCGGGTGGTTTGGACAAATCCCGCGTGGTCCTCATCATCCAGAACGGCTTCCCATCGAGGTACTTCAGGGACGAACATGTGATGTTCCTTTGGTCCTGGACGAGGATAGATTGCCGCACCGTGGACGTCACCGTCGTGGCTTCTGAAGACCTCTATGACACAGAAGCGGACCTCAGGATCTTCAAGCAGCGCATTTGCCAACAGGTGCTTGGAACACGAGGCCGAACCTCAATCGCCCCTCCGCGCATCCTGACGCCCGCTGAGTACAAAGCCGAAGTTGGCGCGGAGAAGTACAAGATCTACACTGAATGGTAGGGGATCGCTCAGTCCCGTATCACTTGGCTATGCAGTTTGTGTGCAACTGTGAGTGCGGGACAAAGTGGATAGCGGAATGTGGTGATTCAGCTGTCCATTGGTCAGGTGTTTAAGACGAAGGCACTCATTGTTCGTTTCAGCCGCAATCAGAAACTCTTGCAACGCCATTACCGCAACTGCTCATTGTCACGCTGCGGACGATTGCTGCAACAATAGTCTCTCGCTGCACGTTGCTTGATCATGCTCTTCTTATCAACTCACCCTTAGCATGGTCACTACTATTGACGCTGCAGCCTTCCCTCACATTATCGACGAGATATGGGGTTGCTTCGACATCGAGACGACTTTGCTGGCTCGGCAGGTTTGCTCGACCTGGCGCGAAAAAGCGGCCCGTCGTCTTCTCCACCACGCTGAAGTCTTCTGTGTCGGTACCAGCAGTCCCTGCTTTCTTAACTCCAAGGTCGCAGATGGCACGGGGCTCACTCCTCTTGCACGCCGACAACTACGACGATTGTCGACCACCATCGCTACCGCCGATTCACTGCGGCACGTGCGAGTCCTAGACGTAGACCTATGGTGCACTCTCCGACGAGCATCTACCGCCTATCAACAGCTACTCCAAGAATTGCATCCCCGCACAGTCTTCCGTACCCTCATCGACAAAGACTACAAGGGCGAGGACATTGACGCGGCGGGTACAACACAGGTGTACTTCCTCCGCTCGTGGTGTGCACCTCGACTCCGACCGGTTGGGGCAGAGACACTCGTGCTGAACTTTCCCTTCGGTTCTCGACTGTTCTCCCCACTCTTGCAGTGTTGTGAGCTCTGGACTCTTCTCCACCCAAGCTGGGGCCGTAGGCGGACGCTGGTCTGTGTTTTCCAGCCTCCCCAAGATCCCTACGGCCTTGGGGAGGGAGCCACCGACCGGCTGCATCACGCTCTTGGACTTGGAGTCGGGGCACAGGCAGTCAAGCCGGACGTCACGATCTGCATCGTCGGCATGGAATGCTACTTCGAACGCCCGGAAGACTACTGCACCTGGGTGTCTTGCTTCTACGCCCGGCTTCGACACCCTGACAATGACCAGGGGGAGACCGAACTCACGGAGACGCCACCACCGCTCGTCTATCCACTACGACGAGAGGGGCTGAGAAGGTCTGCAGAGGTTCAACTCTTGACGTGTTCTGAGTACGAGGAGAGGGTTGGAAAGGAGATGTTCCGGATCCATACCGTCTGGTAGCCCGGCTGCTCCGTCGCTTGCAACCTGGGCGCACACTCACTGGCGCGTTGTCGCACAGCGCCCGGGGCACGCAGATCCCCCTATCGACTTGACCACACCCTATGTGAACTCCAGTTCCCATCATCTTGCCATCTCTCGCACGGCCACCGCCATGATCACCATCGACCACTATGCCTACCCCCACATCATCGACACGATCTGGTCCTGCATGGCCTTCGCCGACCTCCTTGTCGCCCGCCTCGCATGCTCCGAGTGGCGCCAGAGAGCCAGCCGCCGCCTCCAGCGTCACATGGAAGTACGACCGCACAGGGAGGGTCTCCTGCTCTGTACCAAGGACTTCAGGGAGGCGACTCAGACTCTGAAGCTGCCCCGCTACTACGTCACCCGCCACATGCTGGCTCGCACGCGGCCGCTTCACCCTCTCGCCGTGGCTTCTGAGCCGTGGCTTGCCGAACTATTTGCGAACATCAAAGTGCTCGACTTTGAGTGGAGACAGCTCTCTGGCATCGCCCAGCAGACGTTCCTCCTGCTTCAACAGCGGCTCGACCCGGAGACGATGGTGCGCGTCGATGCCCCCTACCAAGCTCCGCGTGTGTTGCCTCCCGTCGCCATCGCGGGCAGAACGCAAGTCTACTGGCTCGATATCGGAAGTCGCCAGGGTCTTTGTACGATGAACACGGACAAGGTTGTCATCAATCTGACCTGCTATACGAACGCTCGCTCACCGATGTGTCATGGGCACGAGTTCACGATCTGGGATCTCCTGAACCCCGACGATCTGGATGACGCAGAACTCGTAATTGCGTTCTCGCACGACGCATATGTGCGAATGTATCTCCCGGGCACCCTCGTTTTCACTCATGTCTACGCCCAGAATCTGTTAACCTGGCTCGACACATGCTGGTATGATCGGAAGGTCTCAATCGTCGGTGCCGACTACCTGTGGGATGAACAGTGGCAGCGCGACATGTTTTGTGAGCGGTTAGAAGAACAGCTCGCTGAAAGGAAGAAGCAGCTGGCAGCTGAGCAGGGAGATGACGCGACGCCGTTGACGAAGGAAGGGTCTCTACGCTTCTTCACCTATTCAGAGTATCAAAACGAAGCGGGAAATGAAGCCTACTGGCTCCATACCCTTTGGGACTCGTCTCACCTAGGCCCCTACACTCCTGACATCATGGACAATGACGAGACAGTGAAGCTGTTGCAGCGGCGATAAGTTTTACCAGATATGCATGCATGTTATCCCATCTTTCAGGGCCATCTTTCACCCCATCCTCTCGCCCGCAATGGCCCCAGAAGCACAACGTTGCGATCATGGCGATCACACAACGGAGGCTGAATTCGCCAAAGGACCAAACAGCACCTTGGCCCATCATTCTTCTTCTTCCTTCAGCCCATCCACGACCAGTTCAAGCCCACTAGCATGGTCACCATCGACTACGAATCGTTTCCGCACATCATCGACCTCATATGGTCGCACCTCGACGTCGAGGGCCTTCTCGCTGTTCGCCACTCGTCCTCCTCGTGGCGCACCAGGGCCAACAAGATTCTGCAACGTCACATGACGCTTGAAGTGCTCTTTGGGAAGAAGGAGTTTGCGCTCAAACTCAGCCTCAAGCACGAAGAGGGTCATGCTTCCACTACCGGCAGCTTGTCCCACGTCCGCCTCCCACATTACTACGTGGACTACAGCATGGCAGACATCAAGGACGAAGATCTAGGGCGTTTGCCATCCGGAGTCGCCGGGGACATCCTTTCTGGAGCCCTGCACAATCTGGCAGTTCTCGACGTCATCTATCACGAGAACGACATCGAAAAGTGGCTTCCCGAGATGCTGAAGCTGTTCGGACCGGACACCGTGGTGCGCGGCGTGATTCCCAGGAGTGGCGAGAGGCGCCTTTCGATCTTCTGTGGCGTACGCAGGTGTACTTCCTGAACATGGGCAACATGCTGCAGCTCGAATTCATGGAAGCGCCCGACACACTTGTGCTAAACCTCGACTGCGTTGGACCCAAAGCAAGCCCTCTTGAGCTCCAGTTCCAGCGCCTCCTCGACCCTGGGGACGTCGCTGGCACCGACATCACGTTCATCCTCGACCACGGAGCGCTCGAAGGCAACCGTCCCAATGCAGTGTGGGTTGAGAACTTGGAGATGACTCTTGCTCCTATTTGGACGGTGGCGACAGTCACTTTGGTTGGGCTGGAACGCTTCTTCCGCAAGGCCTGGGTGTTCGACATCTTCAAACAGGACTCTTACGCCACCGCAGCAAACACGTTCGCGTACATGGGGGAGGTGTACAACCCCACCGCCGAAGCTGATATGCTGAAGAGGTTCGCCGTCGCTGTCAAGCACAAGGAGCTTAGGAAGTGTGGAGCAGTACGCCTTCTTACTCATGAAGAGTATGAGGCAGTGCTCGGCCACGATAAGTACATGATCTACACTAGCTACGAGCAGCAGAGCCAGATCTCTCCCGTGGAGCACCCCCAGTCTGGGTCAGCGTAGCTCAAGCCTATGCATGCATCATTGTGCAAAGTATGACTCACACTGTGTGGTAGTCTTAGCAGTCGTAGTCGATAGGGGAGATGTGCTCGAAGGCAGGTGATCGATGTGATGCGTCAAAAGTCCATTGGCCGCTGCGCGAATCGAACGCGTGCTCAGATTTAGGAAGTTGGTGAACTGTGCCCAAGCCCGAGGCACACCATGGCACGCAGGCGGCCCAGAGACTCAGAGGGTGCAGCGACTCAGACGACGTGTCGACGCCCAGTCGTACGGACCTGTTCGTCTCCTGCGTCCTTTCTTCCACTCCCTCACCCAGCTACTTGTTATGTCCGCCATCAACCACAGCACCTTCCCTCTCATGTTTGATGCCGTTTGGGACGCCATGGACACGGCCACCGTCCTGGCCTGCCGAAACGTGGACTCTCGGTGGCGCAAGCGCGCTGACCAACGCCTCCAACAACACATGATGCTTCTCCCCGCCATATCGCGCGCCGACGCCGACCCCAGCAACCTTGCGTATACGGCACACCTGCCTGCCACCCTCTGTTCTCGAGACGCTCCGCATATTGCCAGCCTGAGATGCGAACTTCCACCCCCCGACGCGCCGATAGCAGTCTTGAAGAACACCATGCTGTCCATCAAACCCACCTTCAGCAACTTGCGAGTGCTGGACGTAGACTGCTCTGGCGAACTGCACGGCGCCGCGAGCCTCATAGGGCCGCTATTCGTCGCCACCTGCCCTCACGCCATATTCCGTGCATTTGTTCCGACTGAATCCCTCGGCCAGGTTGTTGGTGTCGGCCGTGAGCAAGTGTTTTTCATGGACTTGGAACGTCCTGCCAAGATTATCACCTACAAGCCCAACCCCGTCATTCTGAACTTGCGCTGCGACGCTGAGGAGAACAGCCCCTTCCAGTTCGTCCAGTCTATGGGAGGGGCGGATCTGTGGCATGTCTTGGATCATCAGCTGATGTATAAACGCCACGCTGTCTGCATCTGCGGTTTCCTCTTCACAATCGCCAACGTCGACCTGTCCTATCTGGACTCGCTATCTGTCTGGCTGGGCTGCTCAAGCCTGCCCACCCATGCCGCCCTGACTTTCGAAACGCAGATCACGCTCGTCGGCTTTGAGCGTCTGTTCACAGAAGAGCGAGATTACAGACTCTTCAAGCACTACGTCAAGTGCCGGTACAGCGGGCCGCTAGGCGCCCCAGGCGCTCTCGATCTAGGCGGGCGTGGGGCCGGTGAGCAGTTCATGGGCCCTGTGGATCCAGCAGACGTCAGAAGTCCGGTCCTGGCGGATTGGACTGTATCCCCTTTGAGGCGACTTCTGGTCCGCGTACTGACTCGCCAGGAGTACGAGGACGAGGTGGGCTCCGAGAAGTTCACACTATACACCGTGTGGTGACTAGGAGTCTCGTCTAGTTGGATTGAGTTTCTTTGTGTTCCCGGGGAGGAAGTGATAGCAATGGGCCGTTACGGCTAGCCGTTTCAGCAAAGTGAACCATTGAGAGGTAACGGAAATGTCTTGAAAATTGCACGCCAGAGATAGTTGCATCCTGCAGCTCAGTTTTATGTATGCCGTAGAAAACGTCTCCGTGTGTTCTTGATGTGGGCAACTTGACTAGGGCGACACTCGCAGGAATCGAACGAGGACCTGATGTCGTGAGGTTGCGGTATCGACGGTGTCCGGCAGGGACATCTAAAGCGCCGAAAGTGCGGTCGAGTGATCGGGAATCGAACGCGCGCTCGTGAAGAGTGGCGGGAACACCAGGCGCAAGAGACTTGAGAGCGACAATGACTCAACCGCGGCCGGCCTCTTCCGACATTCTCCAAGCTGCGACTGGGACCAACGGCGCCCCATGGAACGCGCATCATCAGACTATCCATTGTGTTGTTCTTTCACGCCAGCTACGGCTCTCCTCGGGACAACGCACGCAACGATGCCTTTCAGGACCACTGCATGCAGTTATTTCCTCATTTATTCAGAAAACCGCCACAGTCGCCGAAGATACCGTGCGTTTGCTCCTGAAGCCGATACGCACGGCCGAGGGAGGCTTAATGTCCTGAAGCTCCATGACACCTATCTGTTAAGACTGTGTAAGCAGACTGCACGCCTCCTCCCCAACACGTTGTAGGTGCGAAGGCTGGAGAACGGCTGCAGAGAAGTTCAAGTGCAAGAGGAGCTGTGAGTGAACGGGGAGCTGCGGATGGTTGAGGAGCTGACCATCTGCTCGTCAGCCTCACTTTGTGCAGGCGCATGGACGAGACACACAATGATCGAGACACCTACCACGAGGGCGGGATCGTTTACAAACTCCATTCAGCTTACGGAACATTGCAGACGAAGCTATGTTGAAAGCGGTGAGCGACCGAGGAGTGATGAGACAGAGATGGACAGCCAGGGTGGAGGGCGCGATCTGAGCGGGAAGAGGTGACTTGCTTCCGTGCTGGATTGGCCACCCAGGGACAATGGCCTGACCCCTCCCGGATGCCTTGAGCAAACGGTGCATCTGGCATGTGACGTTTAAAAACAACATGCATGTCTCCACTGATGAGGTTACAGCGACTCTCTCACCTCATCTTTGACCCAGGGGCAAGGTGCCCAAGGAGGAACTGATTAGAGCTTCGTGTGCAACCGGTACGTCTCGAAGCCGACACGACGTTGATACTCCTTTCGCGACAAGAACTCGACCCTGTTGTCAGGTGGCAAGTGCATGAAGAACTCCGTTATGAAGCGCTCGAGATCTTCCTTCGGCCTGAAGAAGTCATTCAGACCGACCAGGATGGTTGAGAGATCCTTTGCGGGCTCGAACCAGGAGTCCAAATAACGGCTGAGCCACAGAGCGTAATCTTCCACCTCTCCTGGGAAGTCCAGAGCCCTGTCGCTGTCCAACGGGGGATGCGGCCGATTATGCTTGAAGATGATGACGAGGGACTCTGGCTGGTCGGGTTCCATTGACAGGAGAGGCTCGTCCCGATCTTCAAAATGACCCTCTCCAAAGCTTCCACAGATTGGGCTAAGAGCCGGTGAGCCGCAGTCGAGGTTGACTACGACGACTCGGGCGCCTATAGTCCGGACGCAAGGAACAGGGTGCTTCAGAAACAAAACCTGAGTTTCTCCTTCCGTCTCGATGTAGGAGTCACCAATCTGGGACCTAGCGTTGTACCGAGTGGTAATGGCATTTCGGCCATAAAGTTCGAGGCAGGCGACGAGGTCATTGACGGAGTTGTGATGCTCGCTCAGCCTCTCCCGATGATCGAGGATCTGAATGTTATTGTACAGCTCCTGCACATGACTCGGGGTCTCCTTCACGAGCTGTTGGAATTTACATTTGTTGAGATCCCTTTCGATACGGACGTCCTCCCAGGCCTTAGTCAGCTGATTTTGGACGTCAAAGCTGAGAAAGTATTATGGAAAACGTTGGTTGGGAAAAGCGGAACTTTTGACATTGAGCATGATGCCGTCCTGCTTGTTGACAGCAGTCAAGTGCCGCTGGAGAACTGCGTTGGCTTTGATCCTCCACCCCGAGCAAACTCTGCTGGCGACTGCATTGCCGAGAATGTCGAGGTTGGCCAGGATGTTGTCAATGATGTGCGGAAATGCCAGGTGGTCGATGATAACGGTCGACAACGGCTTCGAGGTCTGCTGGGAAGAGGCGTAGATGGACTCAAAAGACGTGTCGCTGGTGGAAGGTGTCATTGTGATGGGGGTTGAAGCCGGCTCGCCTGCTGCTTGTCAATCGCCGTCAGGTTGAGAACAAAGGAAAGGCACTGACCTTCGCCCCTCGCTCCTTTCTTCATAGACGTCGCAGGTGATTTCCGTCAACGAGAGTGTCAAGAGAGAAGATGATGCACAGTCAGCTTTTTGTGTGTCGTTTGTGGGACGGTGTAAGGCTGAGCGAGCTGGGTTGCTTGCTTCCGTCACCTCCAATACTGCAACTCAGGCACGTGCAGGCAAAGCGACCTTGCGCTTGGGCGTGCACACTGCAGTCTCTCCTGACGCTGTACTTTGCTGCAACCGAGAAGCATACAATCTCTCTACACTCGCGACACTGCAAATCACTTGCATCTACGGGCCGAGCTGTGCGAAACTCTCAACCCGCTCTCCACAGCACGAGGCCGACGTGGAACTGCAGCTTCCATCAAGCTAAAACTTCGTGTGCAAGCGGTACGTCTCAGAACCAACGCGGCGCCAGTATTGCTTGCGGGTCAGGAACTCCACATTGTGACCGGAAGGAAGATTGTCGAAGAACTCTTGCTTGAATGCCCTGTAGTCCTCCTCGACACTGAAGAACTTGCTCAAGCCGACAAGGGTGATAGGGTGATCGAGAGTGGGACGAAACCACTGATACAAGTAGCGCTTGAGCCAATGGGCACACTGTTGGGAAGCCGGGCTTCCAAGTTTGCCGTGGGGTTGGTCATGCTCAAACAAAACAACGAGAGGCATGGGATCTGGAAATTCGAAGAACAACAGGGGCATTCCTGGTGGACAGCCCTGCTCGTGGCCCGGTCCGCGCTCTCCCATGAGTGGGCTCAGTGTCGGTAAGCCACAGTCGAGATTGACCACTACCGTATTGGCGATGACTGGCTGCACGCGAGACACTGGGTGCTTGAGAAAGACGACCTGGGTGTCTGCGGCGGTCTCCTCCAAAAACTCAGGTCCAAGTCTCAGCCTTGCGTCGTATCGGGCGGTAACGTGGTTCCGCTTGGAAAGCACAAAGGCGATGGAGAGTTCATAGGCGTCTTCATGTTTGATGGCAGGCGGCCCCATGTAGTCCACGATCTCGACGTTCTTGAACAGCTCCTGCATTCCGGGAGTGCAGTCCTTGATGAGATGGTCGATATGCTTGTTTCCGTTCATATCATCGGGGCTCCAGGCTTCCTGAAACTCGACCAACAGCTCTGCGCACATGAAGTATCGGGGATATGGCCACGCCGGATGATCGTAGCTTTTGGGTTGATACACCACCCCGTCCTGGTGCTTCGAGGCGATCACGTGGCGCTGAAGGACCTTGTTTGCCCTCCTCCTCCAGTATGAACATACCTTGCTTGCAATGGCGTAGCCGGGCATGTCGAGGCAGCTGAAGATGTTGTCGATAATGTGGGGGAAGGCAAGGTGATCGATGGTAGCGGATGACTTGCTCTCGGGTACCGCCGACGGGCTCTTAGCAGCTGCGCGGGTGGCGCTACGCGTCAAAGGACCCGGTCTCGCGTGGACGAGAGGTTGTGTTTCCCCTGAATTAGTGAGCAATCGTATGAGCGACAAACTCACCTTCGCCGCTACTTGGCTTTGACGCCTGGGGCTGTACTTTGAGCATTGCGGTCAATGGTAGAATGATGCAGAAAAAGAGAACGCGAGAACGATGCTGGGACGTGGAACGCCAGCGGAGTGCATTGACACGGATGGCGATGCAGGTTGCTTCCGATGTCGTCGCTGGTGAGGGCGCATCAAGGTCAGGCGGGGTTGAAGAATGATTGGCGAATTCAATCATCACTTCGGTACAGAGGCACGCTTTTCACAAGTTCAAGTTTCCTTGAGCGCGTCTCTACCCCGACATCCTTAGACTTTCGGTAGAGCACGTCAGCTCTTCTTCAGCATGCGGCGAGGATCATTCTGCATGCTAGAAATGCCAGAGTGACTATGTGTCTTGAGTGGACACACCGCGTGGTTCGAACGGCGCCAAGGGAGCAGCGATTGGTGATCATCGAGGAAGCGGCTGTGCGTTATATATAGCATGAACTGCCTGTGAATGGCAAGGCATTCTCTAGCAACCTCAAGACTATCAAAACTTGCACTCAGCTTTCGCGCGAAGGCTCTACGTGGTCTGATGGCCTATGGACAGACTGAATCGACCGACATCGGTACATCGGTATCATCGGTGTCATCGGCTACCAAAGCGGCCCTGGCTAGAACCGGCTTCTCGCTGTTCGACAACCTCGTCCGACAGTGTCGTTGGGAGGGGACCCTGTTGCCGCCATTGGACTCTTTGTCTACATGTCCACTCTGCTCCACTGTTCCACTATTCCACTGTCCCACCTATCCTTCCCACTTATCTCTATCTAACCTCTTATGACAGATGCGACCAAGCACCGGTTCGGATATCCGTCGATGTTCCTTATATGGAGATTTGACACAGGATGCCAAGAGATCAACGGGGCATTGGTTTGGACTTGGAGTGACCCTGGAGGTTAGGGGGCAGACTTCTAGCTTTCGTACTCCGTGGTACATCGACAAGGCCCTAAGGCCCTAAGATGCTTCACCTGATGTCACCACCCAGGAAACTGGTCGTGCAAGACCTTAGTCGGAACTCCTTGTGTGCTTTCATGCATAGGGGCGTCTTTGCTGCACGCCTCCACTACCCGGGTCCATCGTACCCCTCCACCATACGTTTCCACCATACGACACAACATGTGCATACGGCAAAGAGCTACACCAGCCACCTCCACTACATGCATCCACCACGCAGCTGTCTACAACTTTGAGAGGCTGTCCATGCGCTCCTTGCTTCCTGGCACGAACGGTAAGCTGGCGCTGAAGCCCCCATCCACGACGAGCGCATGCCCGTTGACATAGCTGCTCTCGTCGCTCGCAAGCCACAGCGCCGCCTGTCCAATTTCCTCCGGCAATCCGTGCCTCCTGGCGGGGTTCAGGGCTCCAATGTTCTTTCCATCACTGAGCTTAAAGATGCCGGCCGTCATGTCCGTGCGGATAACGCCAGGGCAGATACAGTTCACCCTGACGCCGGAGCCGGCGAGCTCGGAGGCGCCGTTGCGCGTCATACTGATCACGGCTGCTTTGCTTGCCGAGTACGCCAGCGGGCCACTAGCACCGAGACCGGCAACAGAGGCTGTTGCGATGATCGATCCGCCTGAAAGTGGCTTGGAAGCCGATGTCTTCTCCATGGCGGGTGCGGCGTACTTCAGAGCCAGGAACACGGACAGGGCGTTGATACGCATGACCTCTGCGTACTCGTCGGCGGGCACGTCCCGGGCAGTGCGGGCGGAAGTGAGCAGGTCCTCGAGAGGACCGCTGGAATTCTTCGGCTTGAGGTGTGAGATGCCCGCGTTCGCGTAGAAGATGTCGAGGCGGCCGGTGTCCGATAGAGCGCGCGCAACGGCGGCCTTGGTCACAGAGTCGCTGGCGGCGTCACCCTGGATGGCAACAACCCTGGTGCCTGGGAAGGTGGACTGGAGGGCAGTCGCGAAGGTGACTACGGCTGGAGAAAGGTCGACGAGGTACAGCGCCGCAACGCCTTCACGAGCGTACAGGCGTGCCGCCTGGGCACCGATGCCTGCCGCAGGACCTACGCCAGTCACAATGGCGACTTTGCCAGAGAGGCGCCCGGTGCCCGCTGTTACTGCCGAGCGAGCCTTGATAACGTCGAGGTACTTCAGGGGATCAGTCATGTCTCCTGCACAGTGTAGAAGAGATGGAGTCGAGAATGTGCATGCAGATCGAGTATGCTTAAGTGCATGCAAGCGCTGACGAGACTAACTTTGCGGTTACATCTTTTACCGGCCGTGCACACTAGTGTCTCACCAACGGCCATCTCCGTGTTGGTACCATTATCCATAGATGCATTCCTGACTACTGAAGCAGGTAGTCAATGTTCTTCTTGATGACCTCATACGACTCCTGACGGAAGTCATCCTTGACCTGCTTGAAGAACAGCTTGTAGAAGTTGTTGTTGATGCGGCTGCCGCTCTCCCACTTCGGCCAGTTGTCAGGCACGTCAGAGCTGCCGCTGCCGTCTCCACCGCTGGCGTCGTTTGGGTCGAGGTTGTAGACAAAGTTGGCGTAGTACTTGCGAATGTTGGATTGGGCGTAGTCGGGCAGCAGGCCAAAGAAGACCTGTACCAGGTCCGTGCCGTGCGTCGTGCCAAAGAAGGGGAGACCATATCCGTAGCTTGCGGTGTACGACCATGCCGGGACCTCGGGAAAGTTCATGGCATGAGTTTCCAGGACAACGCGGCGGGTCATGGTGAAGAGGAAGTCTCCGAGGAGAGCCGCGAAGCGTTTGAAACCGGGGTAGAGCTCATTAAAGATGCTGGTGCGGAATGGCGAGCCGGCGGTGATGCTCTCGGGGTAGGACTGCACGAGCTCGGCGACCTTGTCACGAGGGGCCTTGGGGAAGAAGACATCGTTGTAGTAGGAGGTCATAGAATCGGTCGAGCCAGAGATGTTTGCGTTGAACAAGGAGAAGAGAGTGCCCTCGTCCTCCTGGTGACCAATGATGAACGGCACCTGGGCGTACTTCTTCTCCTTCAGGAGCGATTGGGGGCTCTTCGTCATGAACTTGCCGTCGGGGCGGGGCATGAACGCCAACGAAAGAGAGGTGTAGGAGAACATGCCGCTAAACGACTTGGCAGCATTGCTGAACTGTTCGAAGGGGAGCTTGCGGAGACAGTCCAAGGTGTCTTGCGCACCACTGCATCCCGCCTTGCTAACCAGCTCGTCGTAGATTCTCTGTGGCTTCTCGCTGTCGATGGCCTCAGCAGGGAGGAGGGACCCTGAGTGCATGATGGCACCACGGAACAGCTTGCGACCCTTGTACCTGTTATCGCCATCAAAGGCGGCCATCTGGTTCCAGACCGACCACGAGCCAGCGCTTTCACCCCAGATGGTAACCTTGTCAGGGTTTCCTCCGAAAGCGCGGATGTTGTCCGCGACAAACTGGAGGCCCATGCGCTGGTCCAACGAACCCATGTTGGCCGAGCCAGCGGCTGCAATCTCCTTGCCGCCCAGGAAGCCCCAGGCTCCGACACGATAGTTTCTGAAGTCAGTCGACCATCACCTCTTCCACTTACACAGCAACAAAGATGTACGGTTTGCCGGCCGCAGCCGCCTCGGTGACCAGACCGGTGCCATCGTACATGGCATTGAAGCCGAGCTCGTAACCTCCGCCGTAAATCCAGAAGAGGACAGGAAGGTCATCACCCGCCTTGGTCCCCTTGGGCCGGACAATGTTGACGTTGAGACAATCTTCAGAGACCTTGAGAGCTTTCGTGAAGAAAGGCGATTCGGTTACAGTCGTGATAACTTGGTCGAGGAGGCCCGAGCTCGACACGTCTGTAATGAATTGAGGGCAGGCAGGAGCATTCCCTGTAGCATCGAAGTTTTCAAGCTTCTTTTCGAGACGAACTGCTTGCGTCAGGCGGCGCTCGCCGACTGGCGGCTCGGCGTAGGGGATGCCGTTGAAGTTCTCGGTGAAGAGCTCCTGCTTGCCAATGATGGTACCCGCCGGAGCATCGACGGTGACAGTGAGGGCGCGCTCCTTCAGATTGGAGCTGGCGAACGGAGCCGGGCTAGCAAGGGTGGCCCCAAGAAACCACGCGAAAAGGAGTGTGATGCTGGCCTTCATGGTTGGGTCAGCGTTTGGGGGGACAAACGAAGAGTCGCAAGTTGGTGGGCGAGGTCCAGTGAAGATCACCCTTCCATTGTTTTATGAATGTCGATGATGGCTTCTTTGCTGCTCAACTATTGATGGTCGAGTGGACTGCGCATTCGCACATACGCATATGTTCAAAGGCTGTACCACTCAAACCCCACCAACGGTGACCTAGCGTTGCCTCTAGCCGATTATGGCCATCGAACGTGTTATATCGTGCCAGCTGAATTGCTCTTGCAAGAGCTGTCTAAGTGTCCAATTCGAACTGAGCGTCTAGCTAAGCGCTCGGCAGGCGGCGTGGTTACCGACTGTGCAACGTGAGAATGACGACAGCCACAAGCGTCGAAGACGTGTTGTGCATTTTCGGGATTACTAACAATATCGAATTGCCACCGCACAGTCTGAAGATACAAACAGGGCCTTGTTGCGGGTCAACAAACAGGCTAACGAACACGATTTACAACAGGGTGGATATTCAAGGTATTTGGGTGTGCAGCCTGTAGGCTTCGCTCCCTACCACGGCCTCGTACTCCTGTCGGGTGATGATGTGAAGGTTGTGTCGGACAATTTCACAAGTTTCGGTCTCTTCCAAGTAACGAATCATATGTTCCCTTAAGGCGATACGATGTGGTTCGTGTTTGAAGACGTCTTCTAAACCAACAAGCCGGGTGGGAAACTGGAGCCAGACAGTTTGAAGACTGTCGCAGAGATAGTTCGCATACCATGGCAAGTCTTCGTCAGCGTCGAAGTAAGGTCTATTGCCGATGTCTTCCTGGAACTCATGCTTGAGAATGATGGTGACAGACTTCAACGTATGGATGCTCGGCAGCAGCTTGATGTCATGCCACAGATCGAGGTCGGGCCCCATGACGGTGAAGACTGGGCTGTACTCAGATGACGCAGAGACAAGGTTTAAGACGACATGTTCAGCTCCGTGCATCTCAACGCTAGGATAGTCGTCCCATCTCGCGTGGAGAACCTGTGTTTTGCCATAGGTGACGAGATCGCATCCCTCCTGCAGCCATAATCTGACCGTTTCAAGTTTGCCCCTTTGATGGAGCTGCTGAAGAAGGGAATAGCATAGGAAGGCATGCTCCTCTGACACGGGCGTTGCGATGTCGATAACCCGGATAGCGTCAAGAAGTGGTATGGTCGGGGGAGCTTCCGCAGGCCCGGATTCGCCAGTCCGTGCTGGAACGAAGAAGACGCCATATGAGTGGGGGACCGGTTGTTGAGGTTGTGTGCGGTCCACAGGCGTCATCTTAACGCCATCGGCTATCTGCGTAGCGGCTACACGGCGCAAAAGAACTCGGTGAGCCCGAAGATTCCAATCCCTGGAGACCATGCGAGTAGTGAGAGCACCGAAGCAGTCGATGCTTTGCCAAATGCCGTCGATAATGTGGGGGTAGTATTGATGGTCGATGGTAGCATTGTTGCTGACCCCAGCTGCCGAGGTAGGAGCAGCCTCGTCGTGGGGTTCGTCACCGATGACCATCGTCGTGGATGCTGAGCGGTGCTGAGTGGTGGGAGGTGGTGTTCGAGGGGAAGTGAGAAAGCTGGGAACGGACATGTCCCTTTGACACCCTTTCCGACGGTTGCGTGATGACCGACAGGCGTTATCGTGTGCAACCTGTTCATATCGGGGCGGAGGGCTTTGTATGTTGTGTGTGGCAGGATGTTGGCCTTGCCCCATCCCGTGACAACGCTGACTCTGCCGCCTGCACGGAAACAAAGACCAGCTAGGCCTCCCCAGGCACCATTTCGCGGCTGCCTCTCCCCTTCCCTCATTGCATGCACCTGTAGCCCCCTCAGAAGCCAAATGAACCGCCCTCGAAGCCAAAAAGCACATCAGCAAACGTCCAATTCGGCCACCTACAAAAATCGGCACCAACTGGGATTTGAACCCAGGACCACTTCCACTGGATGTTTCATCCGGATCGAAAAGAACCCGAAGGAAGTATGATAGCGACTACACCATTGATGCCTTTTTGGTTGTGCTTGAAAGTCCTGTGTCGAATCTCCATATAAGGGACACAGTTCCGCTGGAAATCCGGGTTTTATGGTATCGTTTGGTTGGGGAAAAGACAGACGGAGCAAGGGTGGAAAATTCAACTGACCCTGAGGGTAGCAAAGCAGCCTGTCGGACAGAGCCGTCTCTACAACCACATGATCACGTGATTCAACCAAGCTCGGTGTGCAACGCTTGTTGCCAGGGCGGGCAGATTGACAGTGACCCTCCACCTTCCCACGGCCACGCCTGGAAGCCAACCAGCTGGAATCCCACTGGCTCAAGCTGGCTTCCGCGCGGAGCATCCCCCGTCTGGTACGCGGAGCCCCAGAGAGGAGTAACAGAATGATCACGTCGGCGCCAAAAGTATGCGCATGAGACCTGCAACCGCACAGAGAGAGAACTGGCGGTCAACAGCGGTGCTCTGGGTGCCCTGGGAGTGACTGTAGCGTTGAGTATCCGTCTCGTCACCGACCAATCCACCATCAGTCATATCTCAACTCATTCTTCGCCATGCCTGCTCGCTCCTTGCCGTTGTCGGGCGCCCCTCGTATGCTCGAAGCGCCGCAGCCCCATCGCTCATGCATTGCGATCGACAATCGCCTCTTTATGGAACCGCACCCTCCGAAAGACTCACCCGACCATCTACTCCCTCACTCACCCCCAGGACTCTGTCAACTGCTGATGCGCTGCTTCTTCAGCCACACCGATCCCGTCTACGCGCCTGCTCCGCCTACAATCGTGGTCAAGCCTTCGGCTGTATTCGTCCCCACACATACATGCTGTGGCTCTCGAAGCCGCACTCCTGCTCATCGTTGACCACGTAGACGGTCTATGCTAAAACAACTCTTAGTCGAGTCGGGTAGGCTACCCACCAACATGGTTCCCACGGCCCTCTTCACTTGTCGTCACCGAGACCCATCCATTCTGACTGAACAGGCCCTCCCTCGCCCTTACTCTCGGCCGCTACATCTTGCGTTGCTCAGGCATCGTGTGCTGTAGCTCCCAAACTACTATGCATCGCTGATACAATTTCGCGCTTAAACTCACCCACGTGCTCAATTTGCTCGCCTTCTGATGCTCGCGCTTAGTGTCCAGCTACGCTCCTCCTACGCAGCCTCTTCTTCGGCCTCTCCGCAACCGCTCCGCCCTGACCGTCAACTTCGTCAACGCTCTTGTCCGGACTGTTCGTCGGCCGAATCGAACTAGACGCTGTTCCGACGGGCGCGTTTATGCTGTCTGACCGCCCAGCACCAGCACTGGGTTCCGCGGCCACCGCTTCCTTGCTGGGATCCGCCACGCGCTTCGCTCGCTGCTGCGTCCGCGTCCCTGGCGCGGCCTTGTTCGAGATCTTTGCGATCTTGCTGGGCCCAAAGGCAGGAGAGGAGGGCAGGCTGGCAGCTGCGGTTGAACCTGACGATGATGAGGAGAAGAGCTTGGCCTCGATCTTGAGGGGATTGCTGGCCGATACGAAGGACGCCCATGACCAGGTCTTGATCTTGGACGGCAGGTCGTGAAAGCTGACATTGCTAATCCTCCTCATCGTTCTGCTCTGTCGATTCGCCCTGGCACTCGTGACGCTCGGAATGCCTTGACCCGACTGATTGATACAGTCGTGCAGAGCGACGCGGTAAGGTCGGATAAAGGAGCAGTCGATTTTACTGCACTCGTACACGCCCGTGAGATCGATGGTCTTCGTGAGGTACTTCTTCAATGCACCCTGCTTGCTGAACGGTTCCAGGCGCTCCAGGGCGGGAAGGCCGGGAGAGCGCGACAGCGCCATGCCAATCGCATTCGCCATAATCCACTCCTTCGTGGAGCTCTTGTGCACTATGACGGGCGGAAGGTCGAGACGCTGCCACCCGGGGGGTAGAACCTCAGCCCAGCCCAGAGCAGCGATGTCGGTGGAGGCGCGACTGAGGCACTCGTGAGTGTCGATGCTGATTAGTTCCAGATCTTCACGGGAGCCTGCCAGTGCTGCAAGGCCCACATCGTCGCCGACCCAGTTGATCATGATCTCGTCGAGACGGTCTGCGACGTACTCCGCTGGTCGTTTCCCAGCCGCGAACGTGTCGTCGCCCCGATCGTTGCCGCCAAGGTCGCCGTCGCGCTCGCTGTCGCTCGCCGCGTCGTGCTCGTCGCCCGTTTGAACATCGCTCGCGGAAACATGTTCGCCGCCAGCAGCCGAGCCAGTGCCGCGGGCTGAGCACTTGTGCAGCACTCTTGTCGATCCGTGACGTCGCGAACCAGGAACGCTCTGTCCACAGTCGGGGCAGGTGACAATGCTGATGTCGTGAGGGATATACTCCGTCTCGACTGCGAGGGCGATCACAGCATCCTCGGGTGAGATGGCATTCTGCCACCCCTTCCCGGGGTTGGCCGCGCGCCACTCAGATAGCGCCTTGCCATCCTCCTCACACCCTTTGCCCACACGCCTAGCGGACAAGAGCTGCTGTCCCTCGTCAAGGCCCATAAGCCATGACCGCCATTCATCAAGCGAAAAGTTGTCAGGCCGACAAGGGTGGTGAGGATCGGGGTCGTGGCGAGCCAGCAAGTCGTTCTGCTCGGCGAGAAGTCGCTCGAACTGAGCGACGCGGCGAGGATCGTCGATGCCCTTGGTCGTCTTGCGTCCGAGCGCTTTCTCGCGTGCGGCGTTGGTCTTGGCGGCGACGGCCTTGGCCTGCTCCGATGTCATCCCAATGTTCGCTCCGCGCGCTCCTGCACTCCTCTTGCGCAGAGATAGAATTACGTGCTCTCGCTCCTGCACAATTTGTCGTAGGTTGATGAGCTCGGAGCGGATGTGCTGGGGCACAGCCTTCTCGCCAAAGATTACGCATGAGCTGGAATGACTCGAGGCTTTCTGGAAAGCCGAACTCAAGGATGAACTTGTAGTACGCTGCAACCCGCGCCTGGTGCGAAGCGTCCGCCGCGAGCTGGAGTCGCCAGCGATCCTGCGCAAACTCGGGGTCGTATTTGATCAACCCGCGGTGATAGTTGATGAGGACGATGGTATACTTGCCCTCCCCGAGCTTCGCAATGAACGCATCTCCGGCGCACTTGGACATCTGAACGGTGTGCTTCTTGTCGAATCCGGGCTCCGCAGGAGGTTGTTGGGAGATGGTGGCGTAGAAGTTGAAGGCGCCATCCTGGAGACTGATCACTGCGAAAGCGTCCTCCTTGAAGGCGGCCACAACTTCAGATGATTCTGCCCATACAACGACAGGCCAGCCCAGAATCGAAAGGAATCTACGAAGAAACCAGACACCCCACCACCACTAGTGGAGGGTGATGAAGGCGAAGAGGTCGGTAAACGGCGGCAGCAGATGGAGGCGGTCCTCCGTGGTCGCGGCGTAAGGATCGCTGCCGCTCTGGTACAACAACGCGGAGTTGGTGGCCTGGGGCCCTGGTCCAGCGAGTCGTTCTCGATACCCGAGTTCTGCGTGCCTTCCATAAAAGGCCTCTTCCGTGATGTCCTTGGAGATGGCCACCATAGGGACGCGGCGCTCAAAAGTGAAGCGCGGCGTGGCGGCAAGGACTTGGCTCTCGAGCGTGGCAGGGTTGATGCGTCGGGATGATGACTCTGGCCGACTGGCATACGAGTTGTACATACCCACAATGTGACGGCGAACGGCATCAGCCAGAGAGGAAGGAACAGGATCATGGGGGAGAAGGGTGCGTTCCTGCACATCAAAGATGTCGAGGCGGTACTCATGCCAGAAGCCACCCGCCGTCGAGTTGAAGCAGAGCGGGTATCTCAGCGTGATCAACGAATGCTCTTCCAGTTGGAGGCAACGGGCGGCTCGGTACTCGTAGACATCGATATCGACTGGCGGAACGTTCACCTTGTAGACCTTGACCTGCTTGACTTGCCAGAGCTTCACGAGGTTTGTAAAAAGCGAACCTGTGATCTTGAAGTCATCGGTCGCGCGTGAGCCTGGCGAGCCACTGACGCAGCACCCTGTGTAATACAGGTATGCTGGTCCAGGATGGCTCACGCGCGACTGAACCGTGTCGACGAGCGGCGCAAGACGTGGTTCAAGGGCCGGGTAGGCCTTCACAGCTCGGCGAAGACATCCCGCGAGGTTCTTGAAGTCCTCGAAAAAGATCTGCCGCTCGTACAGCTCGAATGTTTTCGCAGTCTTGGGAGCAACCTTGTCTAGCTCGTCGGGGGCAACGGAGCAGACATAGGTGGCGTACTCGGGGGGGAGGGGGCCGAAAGGGTCTTTGGCGATCTCGTACAGGAAGTTCTCGAGCTTCAAGAGGCGGGGAACGTCGTCGGCTTCGATGATTCGCTCCTCGCGCTGCTGTCGAACAGCGTTTACGACCCGCACGACGTCGTTCGAAGAGATTGCCGACTGACGGGCGATGTCGATGGCGCGGTAGCGGTCGCTCAGCTCCTTGAGAACCCTAGCTTGGACAGTGACAGAAAGCTTCATGATGCACGCTCAAGCTACACGCTCAGGAGGTCGTGGATGAATGGATGCCGGGATGAAGGGGGAAGGCGGCTGTACAGGGGTGGGCGAGGCAGGCGAGAGAGGTGGTGGTACAAGGTGGTGATGGAGGGAGAAGAAGATGTCGGGGGAGAGCTCGCGGAGGATCAGACCTGTCGGTCAGTGGTGCTAACAGGGAAGGACTCACGGGTAAAGACGTGAACTTGCGGAATGAAGACGAGGAAGACGATTGGTGTTGCGGTGACGACAAAGATGGAGGCAAGCGGCACGGGGGGCTACCTGGGCTACCAGTTAGTGGCGTTGACAGGACCAGACTCACGGAGGCAGGGGTAGCAGGATGATGTAGATGACGTTCTCGACCAGATGCTGGGGATTGTGTGATGGGGGAAGACGTTCCTCGCGTCCAGTTTTTTTTTTCTCGCGGGCCAGACGACGATCCGCAGCGCTGATCAGGCTGGGCATTTCGAGCCGGAGGCACAACACCACTGTACAGTGGTGTTCCGGGTCTAGTCACCCCTCCCTGCTGCCTCCACCCTCGACCTCGGGTCCTGCCCTCCCATGGCGTCCGACGTCAGCAACGATCGACGCAGCGCCGATCACTACTGTCATCCATCACATCTCGTCATTCCCACGGTGCACGCATTCATGCATGCTCCTTCCATTCGTCATGCATCCGCCATCAACCGCTCATGCGTGCGAGGCTGAGAACAGCCGGAGGGTCACAAGCCCACCTCAGGCGGACAGAACTTGTGATACTGCACGGAGTGCCTGCGCATGACCCTTACTACGAGCCCGGCATGCTCTGTTACGATCTTGTGCCTGCTGTCGCGCATCTAACTAAGCCATTCGGAGTGCCCGCCGCTTCCCTACTGGCTGTTGGCTTGCACATTGTCACACCTTGCTGTTGCGGCCCAGTCCAAGATGTGGGGACCATTCGCTTTGCACGCCACACTGTTTTGTTGCCGCCTCAAGGGCCAGTTTGACCGACAACCCTCTCCCTGTCAATTTACCGCATCACCTTAGCTCCATCAAAGCTCTGCACGTTCTTTGGAAGCCCTGTTCCGTTGGACACCATAACCGAAGCGTGCAAGGTTCTCCAGAGGGTAAGTGGTCAATTATATCCTGAGAAGGTTGGAAACGCAATTCTGCCACGAAAAGCAGGACGGCATGACAAGTGATCACCTCGATCGTCTGCACAAAGCTTGCTGAGTCGCTCCAAAGCGTCCAGGCAGGCTACAAGGAGGGGTTCACTAGTAAATACACGAATAATAAAAACGAGAAGTGCCACCGTCGGCGTCGGTCGAACATCACGGTCTTCGTCGTACGGCCGAAGTAGATCATGCGTGATGTTCCACACACGCCCACGACCAAAAATGTCCATACCTGGCATGCCGCACACGTCCGCCACGCGCAGCTGCTTATAGCAGAGCTCGACTTCAGCAATGCCGGACGAAGAACGCTCCCTGGACCACTGTCACATAAGTGACTGTCGTGCCATTAGATCCTAATCGCCCACTCGTGAACGTTACAATCGCACTGCTTTCGATAAAAGGGTGATACTCCGCGTTGATCTCTTGACCATCCTGTGAGAAGTCACAGATAAGGAACATCCTCGGGAACCCGAAACCGTGCTTGGTCACATCTGTCATAAAGTATTGAACTAGGGGCAACGGTCAAGTCGAACGCCGTCGAACCAGGACGTTTCGTGGTAAAGCATATTCGGCCCCTTGCACTCATGGACACCTGAGGTCTCGAATCGCTCTACTACGCTATAGTCAGTCTTGACTAAACCGAGGTTTGAGCTGAAAGGACTGATGTCGTGTATATGCTCCGTTCCAAAGTATGAGACTGCATGCATCGATAGCAAGGGAGCTGGACAAGCTTGAAATCATTCGACTGTCCACATTTTGTATGGTGCCTGACGCTGCCTCACCAAACAGGGCCCTCACATGGGGAGTCGAACGAATGCAGTCTTCTGTGACACCCCCCTTCCATGATCAATAAGCATGTGACAGCCTTGATACTGTGCTGGTAGACAGCTCATACACAACTTGGCATGGGTGTCAAGTCTCAGCAGCTCAGCTGATGCAGAAGCGGAGCAACTCAGTACAGAAAATGTACGAAATTCGCATGTTGGCTTCCGTTCGACTTAACCGTTGCCCCTAGTTTAAATAGAGATAAGTGGGGGAGGGTATAGGTGGGACAGTGGAATAGTGGAACAGTGGAGTAAAGTGGACATGCAGACCAGAGTCCAATGGCGGCAACAGGGTCCCCTCCCAACGACGCTGTCGGTCGAAGCTGACGCCCGCTTACGCAGTTTACGTGATTGCACACTTCTGGCCGCGCCGCTATCGAAAACACCCTGACCACTACTGAAAACGACCGTTGCCCTCCACCTTCACGGTCTGTCAGCTCGGAGCCGTCGCACTGCATCGCACCATCGTTCATGCTCCGCCCTTGTGTGCTCGTGGAGCTGCATGGCCAAACAGTGGACAACGATCATGCCAGATTATACATCAATCGATCGAATCTTCTGCACGATCTCTTTGAGCTTGTACCCGTCGACTTCGGGTTGCCAACGATACTGATGCACCCATGGTTGGTGTAGAGGGTTGGCCGGATGTGGTAGCAGACAGGCCTGTAGCACTTGCAGAGCACTGATGATCTTGACGCCGTAATCAGTGGCGGAAGCTGCGGTGGGGATTAGTTCACCCTGCGCCGACAACATACCGGTCGGTGTTGGCCCGTCTCTTCCTCTGCGCTGGTCTTGCAGAGGGAAAGAATGACGCGCTGTCGCTATTGCAGGATTCACCTTGAGGAATTCAGCTCGTTGCGGACGGACTGAGCACTATAGCCTCACCACAAGCTAGGACTTTCTTGAATGTCACCTCGTCGTCCGGGTAGCCAAACTCGATGATGTAGGCAAAGTAGGCTGCGACGCGCGCCTGGTGGGCAGCGTCAGCAGCGACTTGGAGTCTCCACCGGTCTTGAGCAAAAGCTGGCTCGTACTTGATGTTGCCGCGGTCGTAGTTGGCGAGCACGATCGTGAACTTGTCCTCGCCGAGCTTCGCGATGAATGCCGTACCAGCATGCTCGGACATGGCGACGGTGTGCTTCTTCTCGTCCTTGCCGGGGGCGGCCGCAGGCTGATGCTCATGCGCGGAATAAAAGTCGGGACCGTTGTCGTGGTTGCTGACCGTCTCCAGCGCGTCTTCGAGGAACATCGCGACGACCTCGGCACTCTCCACCCACACGACCACAGGCCAACCGAGTATCCAAAGATACCGACGCACGAAAGTCACGCACCACCACCACTAGTGGAGGGTGACTACGACGAACCGGTCGATCATGGGCGGCAGGAGGTAGAGGCGGCGCTCTGTTGAGACGGTCCAGGGGTCCTCACCGAGCTGGTACAAGAGGCCAGCATTTGTGGCCTGAGGTCCCGGCCCAGCGAGACGCTCTCGGTACCCGAGCTCAGCGTGTCTGCCCTCGTACTCCTCGTGCGTCATGTCCTTGGATATGCACGCCATTGGAATGCGTCCCTCGAAACAGTACTGCGGGGTGGCGGCGCGGATGTATTGAGCAAGTGCCTCAGCGTTCATGTTGCCGGGGGATTTAGGCTGCCTGGCGAGGAGTTGACACAAGCCCGTGACATGGCGGCGGACAGCGTCAACGAGGGAGTCCGGAACAGGATCACGAGGAAGAACAGTGCGAGGCTGGGGAGCGAGAATGTCCAGGCGGTAATCGTGCAGGAAGCCGCCTGGCGCCGAGTTCAAGCAGAGGGGATATCTGAGCGAGATGATCGAATGCTCTTCCAGTTGGAGGTGGCAAGCGTTTCTGTACTCGTACGGGTCGATGGGCACCGGTGGCGAGCGTTTCTATACTCGTACGGGTCGATGGGCACCGGGGGCAAGTTGACACGGAAGACCTTGACAGCCTTATTTTCCAGAAGTCGGCGAGTTTGGTAAACATGGTGCCGGTGGCCTTAAGTCGTCCGTCGCGCGTGAGCCTGGCGAACCACTGACACAGCATCCTGTGTAGTGCAGGAATGCTGGTCCAGGCTGGCCCACGCGCGACTTGACAGCGTCCAGAGTCGGGGCGAGGCGCGGTGCCAGGGCTGGGACTTCTTGATCGCTTCGAGGAGACGTGCTTCGAGGATTGCGAAGTCCTTGAACGCGATCTGGCGTTCGCACAGCTCGAACGCCTTCCCTTGTTTCGGTGCAACCTTGCCAATGCCGTCAGGCGAGACAGTGGAGATGAAGGTAGCGTACTTGGCGGGGAGGGGGCCGAATGGATTTCATTTGTCGAATGTATGGTCAATGGTGAAGAGTCGTGGAAAGCTGTGTAGGCTGTGACGACATTGTTGAAAGGTATCAGAGATGATGAGCAGCACCTGGTCAAGAGGCGGAGAGACTCTTACGCCAAGGAAGCGCAAGCCCCTGCCCATCGAGCGAAGCAACCTTTGTGCAGCTCTCTGAGACTCACCTAGCTGGGGCCACAGCGTTTGTGGTGTGAACTCTTGAGGAAACTGGGTCGTCGAATTGAAGAACGTTGTGACAGTGAGGTCGGGCAACTCGTCAGCAACCATGGGAAGCATCTCGAAACCACACGTGCAGGGCGCAACTTGGTGCCAGATCGTCAACACTCGAGGATTGCCATCCGTCCGTTTCACTTTACAATTCCACAACAAGGGACACGGTCAACACCAAACTCGCCCTCCTACCGTGTGGACTGGGGCCGTGGTCGCCGCAGTGACATTCCGCATTCTACTCAGCGGCTTCGACAGCTGCCTCCCTGCGACTCTGAACACTCCATCTGCGCTATGGTCTACGAGCCCGCTACAACGAGCCAGCCGAAGATCCAATGTGCGCCCCGAAGCGAAGGCCGGCCGTGCGGCATACTTCGGCCGGCCGCAGCAAGGCTCGCTGCGGCCGGAAACGCTATGAGTAGCCCATTGCTCACTACCCGCCCGATATCTGTGCCTTGCGGACAAGCAACTCGTTCTCAAGGACCTCCGAACCCGACTTGCGATGGACGTCCTACACGGGTGCGCCTCATCGGCCGGGAAAACCACGGAAAACCATATGTCACCGCCCACTAACCAACCAACTGAACCAGGGACGGACCCAGGCACGCCTGCAATCGACATGATCCTTGAACGCTACTCGCAGACATCCGCGCGGCATTACGCACCTCACATGCCGCCGAGTCCCCAAGGGGGCGACGACGCGCACATGCGTACGGCGCTGACCGAGCTGCTTGCGCCGAGCAAGCCGGGTGGCGCTGCACTGCCCTCCGTCCCCTCCGTGCCTGAGCGGAACCGGGGACCATGGCACCGGGGGGCGCTGGACCTGGCGTCCCGGTGCGGCTGTGGGGTGCGCGGCTCGTGCATTGCCCTCAGAGTTAGCTCGAGAAAGCTTGTAGTCGTGGGCTGCGGAGTGTTGCGGGGTGGGCCGCGGAGTGGGACGAGGGGCGTCATCGCCGGGGTACCTCGTCGGTGCGCCGAGTGCGCCGTGCGGCGGTGCGCCGATCACCTATGTCACGCTGGACCACAGTCCTGGAACACCACGGTTCATCTGGTGAAGCCTTCCACAGACCACTTCGACTACCACACTAACGAAATCACCGCGTTGCTGACGTCGCGGTGACTCCTGAGGAATGTCGCCCTCGGCGCAGCGGGTGACTCGGGCAATAGTGGGCTGCGCGCGCTGCCCACTCACCGGTCGTGTGCAAGCGTGCGTGGGCCTGCATGTGGAGAATAGGGCTGAAGCTTCCCCGCAAGCGACCGCAGAAGCCACCGTATTAACGCAAACTTAGACATGAAGATTAGACATATCAAAGGCACGATTGAGCTCTGCGCCATCATCGAGCGCCAGACCGCGCTAGATGAGTTCAAGAACTCCATTGTACCTTGGAGCAGGGGAGGTTTAGTGCGGTCAAAAGTGTCTTGGGCCACCGAGTTGCAAAACGTACCCAAAACCGACCAGCAAGCTCAGGACTCTCGTAATCCGCCCCGCAGGACGCGCCAGAGATAACGACAGGCCGCGTCCCGGATCACACAATGAATTATCATGTGGCGCCGTCCCGTGCCCTGAGCACTGATGTACGACACACGCTCGTACCTTGATGAATGCCGGTCATAACCTGCACGTTCCTGGCCTACAACCTGGGGACTGTTCCGCGCTAGCGAGTTTTGCCCAAAAGTACATAAAGTAACACCACGAGGAGCGCACCGTTATGTCGGACCGTCGACAAACATGCGCCTGCTCAGCCTCGTCACCCTCCTCCCACTGCTGGCCGCGGGCCAACTCGTCCCCGACGAGCTCGTCAACAAGATTGACGACATCCGCAAGACATGGGGCATCCCCGGCGTCGGCGTCAGTGTCGTCTCGGGCAACGAGACGCAGCTGATCGCTCTCGGCAACGCGACGGCGACCGAGCCCGTGACGGAGAACAGCCTCTTCGTCTTGGGAAGCTGCACCAAGGCCATGACCAACTATGCCGTGGCGCGCCTCATAGCTAACGGCGCCAAGGACTGCAACGGCGCCCCCCTCACTTGGAACACGCGCATCGCCGACATTCTCCCGAAGCAGGACTGGAAGCTTCAGGACAAGTACGCCGAGCAGAACATCCAGCTCCTCGACCTGTCCGCGATGAAGTCCGGTTTGGTCTCGAATGACGCTGCCATCGAGGACGTTCCCGCCCGCGAGACTGTGCGCAACATGCGCAACTTCAAGATGAAGACGTTCCGCGCCGGATACCAGTACGCCAACCTCGGATACATCGTTCTCCAAGACGTCATCGAGACGCTCTCCGGCAAGCCGTTCCAGGACTACATGGCCGACATGTTCAACGACTGGGGCCTGTCCGGGGCCACGTTCAACTTTACCCAGGCCCTGGAGCAGGGCGTCGTCACGGGCCACTACCACACGCGGGACGCGAACAAGTGCACCGACTCCACCTGGCCGAACGTGAACCCGTCCTGTGTGGGCCAGGTGAACGAGCTCCGCCAGTGGATCACCACGGACGGCTTCGGCAACGCCGCCGAGGGCGGCGCCGTCATGCCTCTGAACCAGGTCCAGCACTTCCAGCGCCACGTGCTCCAGCAGCCCCTCGACCGCCCCCTCATCCCGACAGGCGGCCGCGACCCCTTCTCGAGCGAGACGATCTACGGCCTCGGTCTCCAGAGCTACCTGTACAAGGGTGTTCGTATCCTCGGCCACAGCGGCGCGATGCCCGGCCACGCGGCGCAGATCTACCACTCCCCCGAGCGCCAGGTCAGTGTCGCTGTCATGGTGAACGACTCGGAGTGGTCCTCCCAGCTCCTCGCCATCATGTACTCGGTGTTTGAGCAGGTGCTTGGCCTCGACAAGGCGGACTGGGGCCGGATGGTGTTTGACCGCACGGCGCAGACCCAGCTCCCGCCCCGTGTGAACGGCCACGGACCCGCCGTCATGGGCAAGTTCTGCAACAAGGGCTACCCCGTGCTTGAGTTTAAGACGCCGGACGCCGGCATCGTCGAGAGCCTGCCCACCTTCGTCTCCAACGTCAGCGCGTCCCAGGCCCAGTTGCCCAAGTCGATCATGTCCCACTCCGTCATCCTCACCGCTGTCGACCCGCCGTACTACAACTGGACCCTCGCCCTTAGCCGCTACCAGCCCCCTCTTGTTGGACCGCGGTCGACCACCGGAACCGCCGTCGTCACCGACAAGGGTATCGGAATGTTTGGCTACTTTGCCACGGCCGACGTCGACATGGCCGAGCCGACGGTACAGGACGTGGAGAGGAAGTCCGAGGTGTGGTTCAAGCGGTGTTAGAAGCTATGTAATGCATGTATCACTGGAGCAGCTACATGACGGTCTGCATGATGAATAGCTCCTCGTCCACGCGCTGTTTGTACTCGGCGCTGGACAGCAGCTCAAACTTGAACGGGAAGTCCTCGGTTAACGCAGTGCGCTGCATCAGATCGGTCTTGACCTCGTCGTACTTCGCCTGGTCGGGGAAGAAGTCGTCAATGCCCACGACGGTGACGGGGCTAAACTTCCAGATGTGGTTGAGGTATCTGGCGAGCCGGGCTGCAGCAAAGTCGGGGGGGAGATCGATTGGTGCCTGAATGCGCTCTCCGCGGCGAAAGATGACGATGAGCTCTGGTACCAAGCTCTCGTTGGGAGTGCTTGGTGGCTCGAGATGCAGCACAAACCGGAGCGTGAGCCCTCGGTAAGTGCCAGTGAAGGGCGACATATCAAGAGTGGGACAGTCGATGTTGATGACGATCTGCCGAGGCACGCCGTTGAGTTCGAGTTCGTCCAAAAGTGGATAACTCACCCCGAATGTAACGAAGAAGACGGGCGGATGAAGGTCAAACAGGGGGAGCCTGAGGTACATGTCAGTGTAATACGGCTCGTCGAGGATGAGTTGGCCGATGCTCGGGTGAGCCCCGCTGCGGACAAGAAACTCCATGAGCTGGCGCTTGGACACGTTGTCGACCCCCCATGGCCGGGGAATGTCGAGAATCTGGATGTTCTGGCTAAGGTCGAGCAGGCCGCGCGGCCATGGATACAGGGGTCGAAAACGGTTCGGAATACGTTGTGATGGATCTTGGTATCTGGGATACTTGCAGGAGGTGTCTTCGAAACCCTTCACTCGAAGTTCCTCCTTCCCATCGGGATTGTCTAGCACCATGTGTCGCTGGAGGATCTTGTCCGCCTTGCGCCTCCATTCGGACGAGGTCCCGCGAGCCGCTGCCGCGCTAGGCGGGGTCATGTAGCTCCAGATGCTGTCGATGATGTGAGGGAAGGCGAGGTGGTCAATCGTGGTCACCATTGCGGCTGGGTCAGGTAGAGTGAGAAGTGAAGTGAGACGTGGTAAGGTGGGTGGTGTGGTTGCGAGGTATGGTCACGGGTTCAAACAGCGCCCAGGACGCTGCTCTGGCGATCGCCAGTTGTATCGTAAGAATATCAGAAGCTGGTCGTTGCTGTCAGTCTTCGGGGAACTGCGGCCATAGACGACTGTGGCCCTTATCCATTTGCATGATCACAACTGCTGATAGCTTACTTCTACACCGGTGTCGTCTAAAATCTACTCGTACTGGTCGTCGACCTTGAGCTCGGCGTCGATCTGCGAGAACTCCTCGAAGAAGACCTTGAAGAGGTCAATGTAGTAGCGGATGTCACCCGAACCGCAAGTCTCGCGAATCGAGTGCATGGAGAGCTGGGGGATACCAATGTCAACAGTGCGGACGTGGGTCGAGAGGGCAGGGCCAACTGTGCTGCCGCAAGAGGAGTCGTTGCGAATCTCAAAGTCCTGGATGGGGACGCCAGCACGCTTCGCGATCTGGCGCAGCAGGAAGGTGGTCTGGGCGTTCGAGGTGTAGCGCTGGTTCGCGTTCGTCTTGATGACGACACCAGCGTTCAGCTTCGGGCTGTGGTTGGTCTCGTAGCGCGACTCGTAGTTGGGGTGCACGGCGTGAGCCATGTCGGCACTGATAAGGTATGAGTTGGCGAGGATCTGGTACTCGCCCTTGTCGGACGAGGGGAGGCGGGAGAGCATCTCAACGAACGAGGGGAGGAGGTTGGACTCGGCGCCGTGGTTGCTGACACTGCCAACCTCCTCGTTGTCGAAGAGGATGACACAGCGGACGTTGGGCTCCTTGCTGTCCGACTTGCCCTCGGCCTCGACGGCCTCACAGAGACCCTCAATCGACGACCACGAGGTACCAAGGTTGTCGAGACGAGGAGAGAAAATGAACTCGTTGTTCAGACCACCGACAGCAGAAGGCTGCGTGTCGTACAGGCAAAGCTCAAAGTCGTGAATGTCGTCGATGCTGCAACCCAGCTCGTCAGCCAGGACGGCAAGTAGCAGGGGGTGGTGGCGTTCCTCATTAGACGTGGCGTCCGCACGGCCGTTTCCGTCGTCCTTCTTCGTGTCGGGCTTGGGAGTGCCAGCGCGCGACGGGTTGTTGCTTGCAGGCTTGTTCAGCTGCTCGTTGACAAGGCCGAGGACGGGGAGGAACTCAGTCTCCTTGTTGAAGGTGAGCTTGTCGTTGACACCACGGTCGAGGTGGATAGCGAGCGTCGGGATACGGAGAATGGGGCGGTCGATCTTGACGAGCTTGGATGTGAAGCCGTTCTTGGCACCCGGAGTGTTGACGATCACACGGCCGGCAAGCGAGAGGTCACGGTCGAACCAAGTGTGCCAGAGACCACCGCCGTAGAGCTCGCATCCGACCTGGAGGTAGCCGGCCTTTTGGCGCTTGCTGATCGGGCGCACCTTGAGGCACGGCGAGTCAACGTGACCAACGGCGAAGCTGACGGCGGTAGGGGCGGTGCCCTTGGGAGGGAGGGTGAAGGCGACGAGGGAAGACTGGTTGCGGGTGTAGTAGTACTTGCCACCGGCGGCGAGTGACGAGGGCTTGGGGTTACGCTCCGAGATCTGCTGGAAGCCAGCCTTGGACAGGCGCTGGACCAGGTTAGCCACGGCGTGGAAGGGCGTCGGGGACGCAGTGACAAAGTCACAGAACCTGGTGTCAGCATGAAAGTGGATGCGAGGACGTACTTGACGGCGTCTTTGGGAGCGGACATGGGGAGCTTCATGATGACGAGGAGCCAGCGGGGACAGCTTGGTAGCTTTATAAGTAGGCACCAACCGAGCCGATAGTGGGGGTGGTGTGATGCGCGTGTGCCGTGGTCGCCGTGACGCAGCGAGCACCGTACGGAGAACGCGCCTAGGTCGCCGCTTTCACTGTGCCTGAGATAGCACCCACGTGGTTTCGGGTTCACCCGTCTCCCATCCAGGTGGAGGTCTGTGCCACATCCATCCAGGCGAAAATCAGGATGCGGCGTTTCGGCGATTTGACCCTGCTCGGTGGATGGCCAAAGTATCAATGTTCATGCTCAGCATAGCGAAAGCACCTTCCTCACTCTTCAAGAACATCCAAAAATGGTGAGTGCATGCGCGACGTGCGCTGCTACGAGGACCGCTGCTGACGCTGTGCGCTCTTGTCTCGATCTCGATGCTTTCCGCTTTGTTCCGCCTCGCTGGCCGCTCTCTCCGACCTGTTCTTTGCTGGAAATTTGCTGGGCTTGGATGATTTTGCGCGTTTCGACTACAGGGCCGTGTCAGGACTAAGACCGTCAAGCGCGCTTCTCGCGTTCTCATCGAGAAGTACTACCCTCGTCTTACCCTCGACTTCCAGTGAGTAGCGCACGGAAACGCGATAGGAAGGGAATCGGTGGCCTTTTGAAGATTTCTCGCGTGCCACAGGAATTTGCGGGCGAACTCGTCGGCGGCCTCGGTGTACCACTGTCGCGCTTCGCTCTGCTGGGAGCATCAGCTAACAGGCAGCACCAACAAGCGTCTCCTCGATGAGGTCGCTCAGGTCCCCTCCAAGCGTCTCCGCAACAAGATCGCTGGCTTCACCACCCACCTGATGAAGCGTATCCAGAAGGGCCCCGTCCGTGGTATCTCCTTCCGTCTCCAGGAGGAGGAGCGTGAGCGCAAGAACCAGTACGTTCCCGACGTCTCTGCCCTGGCCGTCTCCCCCGAGACTCCCCTCGACGTCGACCCCGAGACCAAGGACCTCCTCCGCTCCCTCGGCCTCGACTCCCTCCCCGTCAACGTCGTCAACGTCTCGGCCTACCAGCCCCGCGAGCGCAAGGGCCGCTACGTCCCCGGTGCCGGCAAGCAGTAAATGCTGCCAGCACTTTTGGGATGTGGATTGTAGCTTAGGATGGATGCTTCTTATCAGGCTAGCTGGACCGATGGCCTTGTGCCTCGGGGACCCTGCCGAAAATCCTGTCATGCCCTCGAGGCGACAGGTAACTGCTCGTCAGTTCTCTTGTGTTGGCTCTGTTGGTTCTTCTCGTCGTGTAAGTTGTGCTCACCTGCAATATCCTCGTCTCCTCTCACCTTCCTTTTCCACCCACATCTATCTCTTCTTAATGTGATCCGCTTGGTGGGTTGTGCCGTCATGTGTGGTACGACCGTCTTAGGATTCGCATAGAGCAACAATAGAGGGTCCGTAGCTAGCTGTGTCCGTTGTGGGACCTCCCCCAGCGGCGCAGTCGTGCCGGGCTCTCACACTCAACCAATCTCCGACTACTGACCTGCTTATACTGACGCCGCCACTGATTCCTTCTGTAGTCTTGTATGCGCATCAATGTATTGTTTTGCCTCTATGAATTCTGCCCTTTGTGCTGCTCACTGCTCGGACGAGTGGTCCTTGCATGACGGAGATAGTGCTGAAGCCGCGCACGGTCAGTCACGTGACACCTCTCAGAACTGGATACGGCATGGTTCCCGGCCGCGAGCGGGCTAGTGGGCTGGCTAGGTTCATCGCAACCTAGACTATTGTTGCTGGCCACTCGACTTCTCGCCTTCTCTCACACTTCACACGCATGCCATGACCGACGCTCTCTCATCATTGCCTACGGGGACGTACCCGCTCACCTTTGGCGCGACGGCCAAGCATGCGCTCGCCGGCGGCGAGGGCGGCGACATCGTCAGCATGAGATGTAAGGTTAAGCTCTTCGATGTGAGCTGACACCAGACTCGTTCAAGCCCGCCTCCGTGACGCAGCGAACAACAGGCGCCGTCGAACAGGGTCCCAATGGGCGTGTTGTGTCCTTCGACACCAGCGTGAGTTCAACACTACTTGCAGAACTAACTGCAGAACGGCTACCAGGTGTTCGACATCAGAGAGGAAACGGCCAAGAGCCGCGAGTGCGTACTCGTTTGGGATGGCGAGCGAGAAGTGAGTCCATTGTTACCTCGCCTTGGACTTTGCCAGGAGTTCTTCGAGCTCTTACTCCTCATGATCTCGCAGCTGACCGTCAGTGCTACGTGCTGCACGCGCTTCCGACCACCTGGCACCTGACCCAAAACCGCACGCTTTCTGCGCAGCGCGCCGAAGGACCCTTCGCCGCCCGTGCCCCGAGTCCGCCGCCAGCAGTCCCTTCGAAGCGCAAGCCTGCTCAGACCGGAGCACTCCCGTCAGCCGCGACCGTCGACGTGCCCAAGCGTGCGAAGAAGGCTGCTAAGCCGAAGAAGGCCGCTGCTCCGAAAGCGGCTCCCGCTTCCAAGCCCGCTACAGCGCCGAAGCTTCCGACGACCAAAAAGGCTGCTGCGCCCAAGAAGGCCCCCGCTAAGAAAGCTGCCACGAAGGGCAAGCAGGCGACGCCAAGCAAGGTCAAGAGCGCCGAGTACATCGAGGACTCGAGCCCGGAGCCGGAACCCACGAGCGAGATGCAGGACGACGGCGGCATGGACGACATGGACGAGTTCGAAGACATGCTCGGCAAGGCGATGGAGGAAGACGGCGAGGACGAGTTCGAGGAGGAGTTTGAGGAGGACGAGGACGACGAGCTCGGCGGCGCGCAACTGGGTGCGGGCGGCTACGCTAACGACGACGTCGAGTACATCTAGTCGCACGAGCAGCGTCGACCGCTCACAGTTCGGTGAGGTCGTCCGCATAGGAGACGAAGCCAGATGTCGATAGAGGCGTGGACGAGAAGGATTAGTCGAAGTATCGTGTTGTCATACTATATCATAAGCTTTAGATGTATTGCATATCCTACACCTTTCGTTCGCCTGCCTTGTGTGCTGCCGACTTGCCAAGGTCCTGTGTAGCAGTCTACAGTAACTGGCGTCCTGAGGGCACACCACCCACACCTTTGAGCGCCTGACTGCAGGCAGCAGCCGCTGGCGCACGATCTGCGCCTCACCAAGGAACATTGACACCCAGGGCGCTTCACTTTCGCCTCCTCAAATCATGAAACCTCGTCGAGTATAACTCTACAGAAATGCGCTGACGGTACTGGCAATGTCAGACCTCCCTGCTACGAGGTGATACGGCCTTGGATCTTGCTGGATACGGCACCGTGACGAACGAAACCCAGAGTGCACGAACCGGAGAATTCTGGTGAATCTGGCTATAAGGACCCCGTCATCCCCGACAGGCACTGAAGGGCGTTTTTGCCCGAGTCCGCAAGGCTTGTCCAAGTCTTGCAGCTTTGGTAGTTTCGAGTGCGCTGTTCGAACTCGCACTAGCGCGGTTGGGTATCAGCGCCTGACACGTAATACGAGGGCGCTTTTTGCCTCCGAGACAGGGTGGGGGGCACTGGCCAAGAAGGTTAGCCACCCCAAGGGGCTAGTTTAACTTGTAAGTTGGCCGTTTGATGATTTTCGCTTGTTTGCGACTGACCGGACCTCAGTTCGATTTACGCTCGTATCCAAGCAATAATCACCAAACCACAACCAACCTTCCAAGTTTAAGCCATGTCCCTTGACCGTCTCTGGTTCCGCCGCCGCCCCACGTGGTGGCCTCGGAGGAAGTCTAAGCAGCTTCCGTCCCGAGGTCTCCGCGACTCCTGGGTCCTCGTCTAAAACCAAAAACACCAAAAAAAATATGATTACGCAAATCTAATTAGTAATAATAGTTGATATGTAATTAATAATATACCCCCCTCGGCTGGTCCGAGGGGTTCTCTTTTGCTATACGTGTGGGTGATGCATATCTTGCATTCACTTCTCTGGACGCATGTCTTGGCTCCTTGGGAAGCCCGTCAAAACGTTTCATCTCAAGGTCGTTGCAGTTAGGTGTGCGACGGCGGTGTAAAAGTGGAAAACTCTATGCGAGCTGGTGTGATTGCCGCAAGGCTGACTCGGAGCGTGCATGTACCCTCCACAACTTGTCAAATGTGCTCTCTAATATAGACGGAAGAGCTGCATCGGAATCTCAGATTTGGAGTGGTTCGCACGTACGCCGGGGCCGTGAGGGGCCATCGCGTGCTCTGAAGCGGGTGGGGACATCACCTCCGTGGCAACCATCAACTCATAAAAGTTGCGCAAGTCACCCGCCATCACTATGCATCCAATTGCCAACTCACTTGAGAGAGTCCGGTACTTCCATACATGAGCTTCCCAACGGTATGCTTTGGTGAGGTGTAAGGAGTGTGCATGGCCAATGGGGAGTGGGATGCGACAACTACTACTGTGTAAATGCCGTTCACCGAGAGTGGAACGGGCATCGCTCGTGCGTGATAGCGAGAGATCACTTTCTGACGTCTCTTGTACGTCAGTCGTAGACAGGTCTGCCGTTTGCGAGAGTGGGAGGGGAGTTGCAGCTCTACGGGGAGTGCATTGACTTGGTGACCATCGTTATACTAGAGGTGGCAACTCTTCGTCCTCTGCAAGTGCCAGTCTCTAGCACGTAACATCCCCCCGCATCACTCCAATCAACGACGACCTCAGACGCAGACGCAACAGAGCAGAAGAAGAACTGATGTCGAATAGGTAGCAGGGATTGCATGCATCTGGAGACTGCTTTGAACTTAGGCAACATACACAGTCATGGTCAAGATTCTGGCACTCACGCCGCCACGCATCCGCCCTGAAGTGCCACAATCACTCTCTTATCTTTCGTCCTGCGAAGATCAAGTCTGACACGCTCTCGGAAGCTCGGAAACAGAGATGCATGCATGCAACCTCTCAAGTTGTCAGCACAGCAAAAGGCGGCGGCATCAGATCCAGACTTTGGACCGCCTGGCGCTAGTCCACGCTAGCCGAATCTCGACCACCTCCACTTCATCTGCCCCACATTTGCCACCCAACGACTAAGACGTCAACTACCCCCTCCATCCCTCCAGCTGCATGTAACAACTTTTCGTGATTCGCATTTCATTCCGTTTCGTTCTTCTAAATTCCAGTTCCCGTTTTTTGAGACATCGAGACATGGTACTGCTTTTGCTTTTCTACATTGTGGTGCTGGTCGTCCTACAGTTTTCATGGACAGCTCGCCCCATGCCTACTAGCCCTGGGCAGCGTACTCCTCCGGCGTCATGACGTACGCGGCCGGGAAGAGGCCCTCGGCGCCATTACACACGCCCTGCCACCAGTCCTCGTCAACCTTGTCGATGTTGGTGATCTTGTCGCCCTCGCGGAACGAGAGCTCGTTGTCCTCGGCGGCATCGTAGTCGTACGCCGCGACCATGACCTCGCCGTCGTCGTCCCCAGCAGCGGGAGCAGGCGGCGCAGGAGGGGGAGGAGGGGCGGCGGGAGCCTCGGACGAGGACTCGATCAGCTCGCAGTAGTTCGATGGGAAGAGGCCCGACTCGCCCTTCGCGTTCGTGCCCTGCCACCAGCCCTCGTCGATCTGGTCGATGTTCGTGAGGATCTCGTCCTCGGCGAAGCCGATCTCGCCCTCCTCCGCTGCCTCGTAGTCGTACAGCGCGCGCGCGGTCGTGCCGTCCGCAGCACCGCCGGAAGGAGCGGGCTTGGACTCGGGCTCGGGCTCGTCCTCGGGCTCAGTCTCGTGTCCGCCGGCGGCGGCAGCGGCCGCAGCACCGATCCCCGCACCAGCG